CTGACTGAATGGCGATGGCATGACTGAACAGTTACGGTCTGACTGAATGGCGATGGCATGACTGAACAGTTACGGTCTGACTGAATGGCGATGGCATGACTGAACAGTTATGGTCTGAATGAATGGCGATGGCATGACTGAACAGTTACGGTCTGACTAAATAGCGATGGCATGACTGAACAGTTACGGTCTGACTGAATAGTGATCTTCTGACTAAATGTCGATGATCTGAATGAAGGGTGATGGTCTAACCGAATAGCGATGGTCGGATTGAATAGCGATGGTCTGACTGAATAGCGATAGTCTGACTAAATGGCGATGGTCTGACTGAATTCGATGGTCTGACTGAATGGCGATGGTCTGACTGAATTCGATGGTCTGACTGAATGGCGATGGTCTGACTGAATTCGATGGTCTGACTGAATGGCGATGGTCTGACTAAATGGCGATGGTCTGACTGAATTCGATGGTCTGACTGAATGGCGATGGTCTGACTATTACCGCTACCAGACACTAAATGGCGAGGGTCGGACTGAGTTCGATGGTCTGACTGAATGGCGATGGTCTGACTGAATTCGATGGTCTGACTGAATGTCGATGGTCTGACTGAATTCGATGGTCTGACTAAATGGCGATGGTCTGACTGAATTCGATGTTCTGACTGAATGGCGATGGTCTTACTGAATGTCGATGGTCTGACTAAATGGCGATGGTCTGACTGAATGGCGATGGTCTGACTGAATAGCGATGGTCTGACTAAATGGCGATGGTCTGACTGAATAGCGATGGTCTGACTAAATGGCGATGGTCCGACTGAATAGCGATGGTCTGACTAAATGGCGATGGTCTGACTGAATAGCGATGGTCTGACTAAATGGCGATGGTCTGATTGAATAACGATGGTCTGACTGAATGGCGATGGTCTGATTTCTACAAACCTCGGTTGGGAAAAGTGTCAGGCTTTCATCTCGGATCAACAGCGCCAGAGACAAGAAGCCGTCCGTGACGTCAAATTTGATGCCGCTCAGATTGACGTAACCGTAGAAGAGAACCCGTTCCACCTCAGCAACAACGCCGTCATGGCACCGCCACGGAGTCAACGGTTGAAAGATCGGGAACAGGCCAAGTCGATTGTAAGGCGGTTCTGGCTGGGCTTCAGCGCCTGTGACTGGAAATTGACGTTCAAGAGATTTGTGTACCCAGGTATGATGTGTACCCAGGTATGATGTGTACCCAGGTATGATGTGTACCCAGGTATGATGTGTACCCAGGTATGATGTGTACCCAGGTATGATGTGTACCCAGGAATGATGTGTACCCAGGTATAATGCAGCGGCGTTACTCGGGGCTAGTGCCACCCGCGTCAGCCAAAGACTTTTTTCCGCCCCCTTCCACGAAAAAAACCCTCTTGCGTATGGCCGAAAATGCCTTACCTTATTTTAAAGTAAAGAAAGGAGCTGCCTGGGGCGCATTGCCCCCTCTCCATATTCTCCTTCTTACGCCATTGGTACGATGAGACCTCAATTGTTATTTTGTGTACTCAGGTATTTTATGTACTCAAGGTATGTTGTGTACTCAGGTGTATTTTATGTTCTCAGGGTTGTTGTGTACTCAGGTATGTTATCTACTCAGGTACGTTCCCCACTCAGGTATGTTGCGTACTAAATTACAGCATGTACTAAATACAATTTACTTGTTAAAATAAGGTATGCAGCAAACTGCCCTATCCAATCATCTTTCGTGTCTACTTACACAATAGGAGCGAACAATAGAAAAAGATCATCATCTTAATGACAGATGTCAGCATTCATTTGGAACGCTGTGATGACATACGGGAGCATTCATTTGGCACGCTATGCTGGAATGAAAAAGAAGACCCACAATTATAGTACAGCAAAGTGACGTCACATGACTCCCATTCAGTTCACTTGATGTCTCTTCCAAAGCTTTGGTAATATTGCATCGACTAAACGCCTTACATGACACCCCATCAAGCCCGGCAACATATTCCGGATTGAAAAAAACATTCATTTTTTGGAACGTTTATAATAAAATATAAATACGTACTTTCAGCAATTTATTTTTATTCTGGAAAATACGTTAAAAATAATTAAACATATCTTTTGACTTTCTTCGCATGCATTCAACATAATGTTAAGTTATATTAATCAGGAAGTTGTATACATTTATACAAAGAGAAATATCGAAGTAGAATGGATCGCAGGACAGCGCCGAGATACACAACACAACACAACACAAAAAACACAACACAACAAAAGTACGGGGGAAAAGTGTTAAACAACGGTAGGTTTACACTTAGCTCAAAAAGAAAACAAAATCATAAGATTTGAGAAACTTTAGCTAGAATCTATAGGATCGTGTAACATTCATTAGAATCGTGTAACATTCACTGGAATCGTGTAACATTCATTAGAATCGTGTATCATTCACTGAAATCGTGTAACATTCACTGGAATCGTGTAACATTTATTGGAATCGTATAACATTCACTGGAATCGTGTAACATTCATTGGAATCGTGTAACATTCATTGGAATCGTGTAACATTCATTGGAATCGTGTAACATTCACTGGAATCGTGTAACATTCATTGGAATCGTGTAACATTCACTGGAATCGTGCAACATTCATTGGAATCGTGTAACATTCATTGGAATCGTGTAACATTCATTGGAATCGTGTAACATTCACTGGAATGGTGTAACATTCATTGGAATCGTGTAACATTCATTGGAAGCGTGTAACATTCATTGGAATCGTGTACCATTCATTGGAATCGTGTAACATTCACTGGAATCTATGTTTTGTTTAAATAACAAAATTAAAACATAGATTCATTGTTTTCATTGTTCTACACCAATCGGCCTACGTGGATGCCTACAAAATATTCCACCAATCTACCTACATGCATGCCTACAGAATATTCCACCAATCTACCTACATGCATGCCTACAGAATATTCCACCAATCTTCCTACATGCATGCCTACAGAATATTCCACCAATCTGCCTACTTGCATGCCTACAGAATATTTCACCAAACTGCCTACTTGCATGCGTACAAAGGATCTGAAGGAGGGAGGAAGGTGGAGTTATAACAATAATATATTTAAGTGTCTTTAGTGGCACCTATACTGATGTATTATCAAACCCAGCTGATATATTACGTTTCATTATTTAAGTAATCATTAAATTGTTGGACAGCCATACATCTTTTAAGCCGGGAAAATATGGGAAAATTTTGCCCCACCCCCCCCCAAAAAAAAAAAATAAAAAAATAAAACAATATATATTTTAAGTTTTAATTATGATTAGACAAAGTTACAAATGAAAACGTTTCGGCAAATGCCTTCGTCAGTGAAACAAAACAAAAAAAAACAGAACAACATTTACGTAATCTTAAATTAAATGTACCTAATGCCTGTATATCCTACCTATACCAAACAATTGAAATAGAATAAGAACAATGGGCGCACGTCCCTATCGAAAACAATAGATCAATATGATTGAAGAAAGCAGCACTGTTCACCTGCCACCCCCCTACCCCTCACAACCCCACACCCCAACCCATCCATTTCTTAGAACTGTTGACGATAAAGGAAAAACCACTTGCCGCGAGAACAAGACACATACCAGGGCATATCATGGCATACAAGGGCATACGAGGGCATATCATGGCATAAGATGGCATATCATGGCATACGATGGCATATCATGGCATGCGAGGGCATACGAGGGCATATCATGGCACTCGAGGCCATATCATGGCATAAGATGGCATATCATGGCATACGATGGCATATCATGGCATACGATGGTATATCATGGCATACGATGCATGTCATTGCATACGATGCATATCATGGCATACGATGACATATCATCGCATACGATGACATACGATGACAAACGATAATGTATCATGACATACGATGACTATCATTGCATACTATGACATATCATGGCCTATCATGGCATACGAGGGCATACGAGGGCATATCATGGCATACGAGGGCATATCATTGCATATCATGGAATACGAGGCAATATCCTTGCATAAGAGGGCATATTATGACATATCATGGCATACGATGGCATATCATGGCATACGATGGCATATCATGGCATACGATGGCATATCATGGCATACGATGGCATATCATGGTATACCAGGGCATATCATGGTATACTAGGGCATATCATGCATACGAGGGCATATCATGGCATAAGAGGGCATATCATGCATACGATAAAATATCATTGCATATGATGGCATATCATGGCATACGATGGCATATCATGGAATACGATGTCATATCATGGCATACGATGGTATATCATGGCATACGATGCATATCATGGCATACGATGACATATCATGGCATACGATGGCATACCGTGGCATACGATGGCATACGATGACATAGCATGGCATACGATGGCATATCATGGCATACGATGACATATCTTGGCCTATCATGGCATACGAGGGCATATCATGGCATATGATGGCATATCATTGCATATCATGGAATACGAGGGCATATCCTTGCATAAGAGGGCATATTATGACATATCATGGCATACGATGACATATCATGGCATACGATGGCATATCATGGTATACGAGGGCATATCATGGCATAATAGGGCATATCATGGCAAACGTTAGGTTTATTCCTCTTTGCTTCGATACATAACTAAAACTTATTTTTACTTCTTTTTTGGCGGAAGTTTAAGGATTCAAACATTTTTATTAGCAAGCCAAGCGCGTTTTAAAAGGTCGAAATGACGTCATTATAAAATGTTTCCTCAAAATATTATAATACATAGAAAAATTTAATTTATTTTCTTGTAAATTGTATATCTAGCTGTCTATTTTTAAATATTCTAATTTTCTTATTGCCTTGTTAAATAAATAAATAAAATCACGTGAAGTAGTATCATGACATGCCAGCAGTGAATGACATGTTTAGTGCGACTCTACGCTGACGTCACCAATTATGAACTTTTGATTAAAAAGTGAATAATTGTATAAGAAACCAATGAACTTCCGGCCACATAAGATTTGTAGAGCAACATGCTTATGAAGTGTTGAGCTTTGCTCTGGTATATCATAATATTTCTTTGTTTCAGTAATTCTCCAACGCAGGGCTCGGCTTATTTCAAGGCATTGGTAACTATTCAAATAATATTGACGTAGTCGTTAGGGATCTGGTAAACCCTTTTATTGTTTAGTCATCGCTGTGAATGTGAGAGGAAAGAGTAAAAAGACAGCAAGTTATGAGTTACATTGTAAGTGATAGAAAGAAAGAGAGAGAGGGAGAGGGGGCAAGAGAAAGTGAGAATAAACGAGAGGAGAGAGACACAGAAAGAAAGAGAGAGGGAGAGGGGGCAAGAGAAAGTGAGAATAAACGAGAAAAGGGAGAGACAAAAAGCGAGAGAGGGGGACAAGAGAAAAAGAGAGAGAGAGGGCGAAAGAGAGAAGGAAGAGAAAGAAAGAAAAAGAGAGAAAGAATGGAGAGAAAGAAAGAAAGAGAGAGAGAGAACGAGAAAAGGGAGAGAAAAGAGAAAGAAAGATGACGATGACATGGCCTGGTTCAGTGGTCGTCAGCCTGCGGCCTGGGAGCTGCACGCGGGATGTTTTGAAAAAATAGATGCGGCTGCAACACTATTTTCTTAGCATGTATAATTTATAACTGGAAAAAGATTTCCTAGCCCTGGCCTAGTTACATCTTATAACACGTTTACATTTGGATGTGGGTGCTTGGGGGGGGGGGGGAGAAATAAAAAGAAACCAATCAAAAAAAGTATCATACATTAATTAATTAGCCCTGGCCTAGTTACATCTTATAACACGTTTACATTTGGATGTGGGTGCTTGGGGGGGGGGGGAGAAATAAAAAGAAACCAATCAAACAAAGTATCATACATTAATTAATATTGTACATTTCAGCTGCTTGTTAGCTTGTGGGTAAACTAGTGACACACACACCATGTTATACAGAGCTGAGGAATTTTCCATTACGAGGAGCTTGACAATGCTACTGATATATTTGGTGTTACTTTTAGGTAGGTTAAATTTCAGTAGCAATTTGTTGCATTACAACAGTCTGAATCGCTGTGCGTGACATGTTCAATGTCTTCTGGGTAATTTAGTCTGAATCATTGTGTGTGACATGTTCAATGTCTTCTGGGTAATTTAGTCTGAATCATTGTGTGTGGCATGTTCAATGTCTTCTGGGTAACTAAGTTTGAATTGTGTGACACGTTCCATGTATTTTGTGTTGCTCCATTCGTACAAATTATTTGACAGTCTATTTAAAAATAAAATAAATAAATGACAATATTATTGAAAACTCCGGTTACCTTAACTCAAATTCTATGAAAGTAGCGGCATCAACATTAAATGATGGTGTTGGGCAACTGATTGAATGCCCCTTGTTGATAAACGAAGATGTGACCGAGTCTTTTTCTAAATCAGTTTCATACATTGAATCACTTGATCTTAAATTTTGAATTTGTTTGGCTGAAAAAAAAAACCCCAGCAACCCCACATATCCTATCATTTCATGTTGAATAGTATTTCTGAAGAGATGACGTATCTCAGGCGTATCCCACAAATCCATTTCTAGGACTAGGTCCACTGGTCCAGCCTCAAATAATCGGCGACAGGGCCAAACTGTTCCGCATCCTGGTACCGATGCAAGGGCGGCGCTGCCCTGGGGGCGTCATCGCCAAGTCAGACAGCATCTATCTCACCGGCATGATCAACATAAGCGGCATTAACACAGACCTGTCTTATGCGTTCATGTCTTTGAATGTCTACCGGAAGCAGGGCGATGAGTTCTACTTTTTCGAGGTATTTACCGAGTCCGCATTGGTGTTAATAATTTCACGAGGCATTCGCCGTGATGACACGGTGCTAAGCTTTCATAAAGCATTCGTCGTGATAACACGGTGCTAAGCTTTCATGAGGCATTCACCGTGATAACACGGTGCTAAGCTTTCATGAGGCAGTTACCTGGACAACACGGTTCTAAGCATTCATGAGGCATTCACCGTGAAAACACGGTTCTAAGCTTTCATGAGACATTTACCTGGACGATACGGTGCTAAGCTTTCATGAGGCGTTCGCTGTGACGACACGGTGCTAAGCTTACATGAGCATTCGCCGTGACAAAACGGTGCTAAGCTTACATGAGGCATTCGAAATGACAACAGGATGCTAAGCTTTCATGAGGCATTCGCCGTGACGAAACGGTGCTAAGCTCACATGAGGCATTCGAAATGACAACACGGTGCTAAGCTTTCATGAGGCATTCACCGTGACGTCGTGGTGCTAAGCTTTCATGAGGCATTCGCCGTGACAAATGGTGCTAAGCTTTCATGAGGCATTCACCGTGACAAATGGTGCTAAGCTTTCATGAGGCATTCACAGTGACGTCATGGTGCTAAAGCTTTCATGAGGCAGTTCCCGGGACCACGCGTTGCTAATATTTTGTGAGAGATTGGTGGTGCCGACATTTGTGTTCTAATAGCTGTGATTAAGTCTTTGGTTATTGTTCTTTCACTCCAACAACGACTTCCAAAGATAAGTCACGTAGGTAAGATGAGGCGCCCCCCACGGGGGGCTGTTCTGGAATTTACCGGACACTTATTACATAACAATACAACAAACTGAATTAGGCCAAAAGGAATCGGGAGACGGCCTTTCTTACTGTCACTAAGGCTTAAATTGTTCTATCTTTTGTCGGTGGATATAAGGGAGATAGAGAGAGAAATAACAAGAGAGAAGGGTAGTGTAAAGAACTGATACTGCTTTTAGAGGCTGTAAAGCAGAGGTTCTCAAACTGTGGGTGGCGACTCCTTTGGGGGTCGAATGACGCTTACTGAGAGGTTGCCTAAGACCATCGGAAAACACGTGTTTACTTTATGAAGTCACAACGAAGCTAATTTTAGGTTTGTTTTTCGGGGGGTGGGGGAGGCATAACAACACAATGAACTCTATTAAAGGGTCACGGCATTAGGAAGTTTGAGAGCCACGGATGTAAAATGTTACAGTGGAGAAGAATATGGGACAGTGAAGGACAATGGGGGCAGTGAAGGACAATGGGGGCAGTGAAGGACAATGGGGGCAGTGAAGGACAATGGGGGCAGTGAAGGACAATGGGGGCAGTGAAGGACAATGAGTGACAGTGGGAGGCAATGAGGTACGGTGTAGTGAAGGACAATGGGGGCAGTGAAGGACAATGGGGGCAGTGAAGGACAATGGGGGCAGTGAAGGACAATGGGGGCAGTGAAGGACAATGGGGGCAGTGAAGGACAATGAGTTACAGTGGGAGGCAATGAGGTACGGTGGAGGACAATGGGGTACAGTGGAGGAAAATGGAATACAGTGGAGGTCAATGAGGAACAGTGGGGGACAATGGGGTACAGTGAAAGACAACGGGGTACAGTGGAGGACAATAGGGTACAGTGGATGGCGATGGGGTATGTGGAAGGCTCTGGTGAAGAGGGGGGTGGGGTAGAACTGGGAGGACAATGGGCGATTTGCTCTGGTGAAGAGAGGGTGGCATGGAACTGAAAGGGCAATGGGCAAGGTGCTCTGGTGAAGAGGGGGGGGGGTAGAACTGGGAGGACAATGAACTAGTTGCTCTGGTGAAGAGAGGGTGGGATGGAACTGAAAAGGCAATGGGCAAGTTACTCTGGTGAAGAGGGCGGTGGGATTCTATAGGGAAAAATTCCCCATTATTTTTTTCTTCCCACAGATCATATGCTCTGTAAACTTCAACGAGGGCTGCAACCCGTGGTACCGCAGAAACTGCTACTGCATGAGCTTCAAGTCTAATGTGCTGGAGATGATTTTCAACGTAACCGTAGAGATGGAGTACCAGTCTATGCATCTCTTCCTTCTCTTCATGCGTGACGTAGACGGGGAATTCATTGAGCAGAGCAACCCCCAGCCCTTACCAAATATTTACAGTAAGTACCGCTACTTTGTCGAGAAGCCCCCATCCCTAACCGAATATTTACTGTAAGTACCGCTACTTTGTCGAACAGCCCCCAGCCCTCACCGAATATTTACACTAAGTACCATTACTTTGTCGAGCAGCACCCAGCCCTTATCGAATATTTACAGTAAGTTCCGCTACTTTGTCGAGCAGCCTTACAGCATTGTCTTGCAATAAAATTAAGTAAGGACGTTGTGTGCAGCATTGAGATAATAAAATATTATATTTTTGTAGTGATTACGGTAACTTTGGTGTGCAGCATGCAGCAATTTTTATATATTTTTATAGTGTGTACAGTAAATTTGGTGTGCAGCATACAGATAATAATATATTTTTTTTTATATTTAATACGGTAACTTTGGTGTGCAGCATGCAGAAAATAATATTTTTTTATATTTAATACGGTAACATTGGTGTAAAGCATGTATAAAATGTTATGTTTTTATAGTGTGTACGGTAACGTTGGTGTAAAATGGTCAAGAATGAGAGCAAACATCAGTGGTTGGAATGCGCCTTATGAAATAAACAAAAGCGGCTCTTTGAATCCTTAAACATTTAATTACAAAGTGTGTTTAATTAAATTAATGTTATTTTTTTTTTTTAAAAATGAAGTTTCTAAACGTGAGGTATGAGAACAAAAAAAAACCAAACAAACAAAAAACTCCAGGTGTCATGTACAGACTTGCGCTGTCAAATCCTTACGTGCCCGGGGCTCTCTAAAGTTTTTTCTCTTCACCCTTAAAGGGTCGCCCATACGTTGTACGTGCACGATAAGCAGGTTATATTGGGTATGCGACTTTCAGAAAAGAGCAATGTTTCTATTCAAGAATGTTTTTTTTTTCAAAAAGAAGATATTTCAAAGTTAACCGTTTTTTAGCTCTACGGGTGAACGTGATGTGTGGAAGAAACATTGGAGGTCAATTGTTTCTTATTGCCTCAATTCTAATGGTTTTATTACATTCTGACGTTTAAAATAAGTATAAAGACAACAAAAGCAAACACCCCAACAACCCATCACCCCAACAACCCATCACCCCAACAACCCATCACCCCAAACAACCCATCACCCCAACAACCCATCACCCCAAAAACCCATCACCCCAAACAACCCATCACCCCAACAACCCATCACCCCAACAACCCATCACCCCTCCTCCCACTGTCATAACCCCACCACTAGCACTTAGCTTGTCTTTACCCCCCTCCCACTGTCATAACCCCAACAAACCATCACCCCAACAACCCATCACCCCAACAACCTTCACCCCAACAACCCATCACCCCAACAACCCATCACCCCCAACAACCCATCACCCCAAAAAGCCATCATCCCTGACACATGATCATGCCAACAACCGGTCGTTCCAAAACCTATATTGTCAGCAAACTATCATTCCAATATCTCACCATTCCAACATCTCATCCTTCCAGCAACCCATCACTGCAGCAACCCATCACTTCAGCAACCCATCACTTCAGCAACCCATCACTTCAGCAATCCATCACTTCAGCAATCCATCACTTCAGCAATCCATCACTTCAGCAACCCATTACTTCAGCAATCCATCACTTCAGCAACCCATCACTTCAGCAACCCATCACGTCAGCAACCCATCATTTCAGCAACGTATCACTCCAAAAACTTATTATTCCGATAACCCATCATTGCAAACAACCTATATCATTCCATCAAGCCTATATTCCAACAACCTATCATTCTGACAACCCATTATCTCAGCAACCTATCATTTCAACATATCATCATTCCGACAACCTATCATTCCAACAACCTATCATTTGGGCAGCCTATCATCCCAACAACATATCATTTCAGGAACCTATCATTTCAACATATCATCATTCCAACATCCTATCATTCCAACAACCAAATCATTTCGGCAACCTATCATCCCAACAACCTATCATCCCAACAACCTATCATCCCAACAACATATCCTTTCAACAACTTATCATTTCAATATATCATCATTCCAACAACCTATCATCCAACTACCTATCATCCTAACAACCTATCATCCCAACAACCTATCATTCCAAAAACCTATCATTTCAACATCTCATCATTCCAACATTCTTTTATTCCATCATCCCATATGTCAGCAACTTATAATTCCAACAACCTATCATTTCAACATCTCTTTATTCCAACAACCTTTTATTCCATGAGCCCATATGTCAGCAACTTATAACTCAAACAACTTACCATTTCAACATCTCTTCATTTCCAACAAATTATCATTCAAATAACCCATTATTGTAACAAACTATCATTCCAAAAACCTATCATTTCAACATCTTATCATTCCTACAACGTATCATTCCAATAACCGATTATTGCAACAACCTATCATTCCAACCACCATACATTCCACGAACCTATTACTCCAACAACCAGACATTCCAAGAACCTATTATTCGGACAGCTGGTCCAATCAATCATAGCGATTTAATCTCACATCACCGAAATACACTCACAAAGGGGTGAAAAGCGTTTTTTTAAAAAAATCAGCCACCCAAGGTGGAAGACACAAGCTAAAACTGTCCGTGCTCTCTTGACCCAATGCTTAGAGCGCAGACAATAAACACATGTGGGTTTTCATACGTAAATAGTGGAAAATTATGTTAGCTGGTTATACATAAACAGGGCCGTGACGAAGGAAGCGGACTTGGGGGGAGGGGGGTGAAACCTGATAATGACGCCCACCAATATTAACGCCGACCGAGGTGGACAAATGAAAAAAGGCGAATTAGCAACCCTTTGTCTTTTTGAACTCCATGGGATTATAGCGTTTCATTCACTATAAGTATCCCATCTAGATGCTATTTTTGGGCCAAACTAATGTTGGCGCCCGGGGTGAGTGACATCTTCGCCACCCTCACCCTTTTCTTACGGCACTGTACAAAGCTACCACGGTTTACGAGAGAAATCTTCACTAGGACAAACGGCATGTCAGGTACCAAAGTGTTGAATAGTGTTGTTCCAACCAATTGTTCCTCATCCCCAGGTGACGCCCGTTGTGTAATGACCAAAAAGTCTCGATCTAAAGGTAATACGATAACTTGACTATGGAAGGTGTTGTACAAATTATTTATTGAAATAGGTAACGCAGTGAAGGCCGCTTGGTCAACAATTTTAGCATTTTTTTGTGTGCCTCTTAATGAGCAGCCGTTAGGCCTACATATGTAATTAAAGTGCTGTTACGTACCGTAGTAAGATTGGAGAATTTAATCTGTTATTTAATTAAGTGGCTCTATGACTAAAAATACGCATCAAAATACGATACCATAAACTAAATACAATAACAAAGGAACGATACCTTAAATAGGGCTAATTTAATTTAATAATTTCATCAATGAAATAATGAATTACAAAATCAAAAAGACATGCAAAATTAAAGCAGCTATTGACTTACAGTATAATGATTGGCTTGTACCGGTACAAGGTTGAAGAAGATACAATAATGTTAAAAGGTACAAAGATGAAAAAGAATCTACACATACACACAGCAAATGTTAGTAACCTCTGTCTTGTAAGCAAAGCTCTATAGTAATAGCAATCGCTCGGACTTTCTCTCGTGTCCCTCTGCTGTTTTATAGATAGTTCTCGAAAGGTCTTACACATTGCATTCCTTTCTAGATATTTGTACATAATTCTAATTATACAGAATATAGAGTTTATTTAGTTGTAAAAAAAACGTAAAGAGAGGCTATTTTTAGCTAGCCCCACCCTAAATGCGGTTCCGATCTTTGGGTCAGCTTGAGTTCATTCACGGGGAAAAGATGACGCAAAAACATATCGTCTGCACAACAGTGCGCCACAGCATTGTGTCTAGCAAATAACCAGCCATTGGTGCGTTTTTCAAGTGTGTAACGTTTTTTCGGTTCAAATGTATGTGTAGGTTACCATCATTTCTCCAACTTAATTTTTTTTTTTAAAATTTCGTCATAACGAATGTACAATAAATAAACTTTATGATAATTATATGTTAATTATATGTTGGCTATACGTTAACTGTAAATATTTTCAAAAAGATTTTGTCAATCATAACACTATGCCAGGCACAAACCCCCCACCCCCCCAAAAAAAAAAACACAAAAAAACAACCAACAACAACAACAAAACAACAACAACAACAACAAACCACACGATATTTTCCCATGCCACCACATGTGAATTTAGACACCAACTTCTACGTTGAAAACGCTAATCCTCAATTTATGACCCCATTTATGTTTACGTTTTCTTCCAGGCCATGGCATCAGAGCCGGCACAATGATCTTGCTTGGTGAGTTTGTGTTAACCAGTCTTGTGTTTTCTACCTGACAAACATTAGACCACACGTGCGCAGCTGTCACCAAAAGATCATCCACAGGCGTTGGTGCCCCCGTCCCCCATCGCTAAACTATTTAATTATGGAGTTCGCCCAAAGCTCTCTACGTCATGGAGATGGTAGGGTGCCGCTATGCCGGGCAGGTGGGTTAAACCACAATGCAAAATGTTATCATCTTGCTTCATAAATAGCTTACTGAATATCTCACGAGCTTGTCCTGAGTACTCAAGATCTTTTCTTGATATCTGGTGACTTTTTCCTGATATCTGGTGACCTTTTCCTGATATCTGGTGACCTTTTCCTGATATCTGGTGACTTTTTCCTGATATCTGGTGACCTTTTCCTGATATCTGGTGACTTTTTCCTGATATCTGGTGACCTTTTCCTGATATCTGGTGACCTTTTCTTGATATCTTGTGATCTTGTACTGATTACTCGAGATCTTTTCCTGATATCTGGTGACCGTTTCCTGATATCTGGTGACCTTTTCCTGATATCTGGTGACCTTTTCCTGATATCTGGTGACCTTTTCTTGATATCTGGTGACCTTGTACTGATTACTCGAGATCGTTTCCTGATATATATTGACGTTTTCTTGATATCTGTAGACCTTTTCCTGATATCTGGTGACCTTTTCTTGATATCTCGTGATCTTGTACTGATCTCTCGGAATCTTGTCCTTAAATCTTGTGACTTTGTCCTGATATCTCGTGACCTTGCCTTGATATCTCGTGACCTTGCCCTGATCACTCGAGATTTTGCGCGGATCTCTCAGGATAATGTTCAGATCTCTGCCCTGATCTCTGGGTATCTTGACATGAACTCTGAGGAGCATGTCCTGATCCCTGGGATCTAGTCCGGCTCACTTGGGTTCTTGTCCTGAACCCTAGGGATCTAGCCCGGCTCACTTGGGATCTTGTCCTCATCCCTGGGTATCTAGCCCGGCTCACTTGGGATCTTGTCCTGATCCCTGGGATCTAGTCCGGCTCACTTGGGTTCTTGTCCTGATCCCTAGGGATCTAGCCCGGCTCACTTGGAATCTTGTCCTGATCCCTGGGTATCTAGCCCGGCTCACTTGGGATCCTGTCCTGATCCCTAGGGATCTAGCCCGGCTCTCTTAGGATCTTGCCCTGATCCTTTGGGTTCCTGTCCTCATCCCTGGGTATCTAGCCCGGCTCACTTGGGATCTTGTCCTGATCCCTGGGATCTAGTCCGGCTCACTTGGGTTCTTGTCCTGATCCCTAGGGATCTAGCCCGGCTCACTTGGGATCTTGTCCTGATCCCTGGGTATCTAGCCCGGCTCACTTGGGATCCTGTCCTGATCCCTAGGGATCTAGCCCGGCTCACTTAGGATCTTGTCCTGATCCCTGGGGATCTTGTCCGGTTCTCTCGGAATCTTGTACTGATCTCGGGAATTCTTATCCTGATCTCTCGTGATCCGACGTGATCCCTCATTGTATTTTCTCTTGATTCTACCCTGGAAACCGTATCTCGATTCAAACCTTGGTGTTTGTACTTAAGAGCATTAACACGGCCTCTGCTTGCAGTGAGACTACTTGATTAAGACGTATTAAAACTTCTTTATAATGCAGACTTTGATATACAGACGTCGGTATGAAAACTTCGGAATACAGTATTCGATATTCAGACTTTAATATACAGACTTGGGTATACAGATTTTAATACAAAGTCTACATACTTTGGTTGGTATGCATACTTCAGTCCGTAGACATTGCAACGATGGCTTTTATGTAAAGATGTACGTGAATTTTATATATCTTCAAAATCTTTCACAGGATCCGTCTTGCTGACTAGTGCCATGATTGCCACCAAGGGTGTCTGCGGCTGACCAAACACCTTCTCGAAATCTAAATCAAAGAACGAAACACCATTATGTAAACAAATTTTAAAAATGTTCTAGAGAATGAATGTGTCGGATAAGATATGTGTTCGGAAAGACATGTTCTTGAGAAGATAATTTTTGGCTAAGACAGGTATTAGGGTATTGGGAAATACAGGCTCTAGAGAAGGTGCTTGTTTGCGTAAGGTAGCTGTTGGGGTTTTAGAAAAGACATGCTCTAGAGGAGGTGCATCATTGACGTGTGTCGTAGTATCAGCATGTTATGCTGTAGAAAAAAAAAACGTTTTGAGAAAGATAAGCATTGCAGAGGATTGGTGTACGAAAAGAAGATTTGTTTTATGATGGCATATCGTGACATCGAACGAAACGAAGGATCTTTATAACATACTTCACTTGTTTGGTTGAATAGATTGTCCATTAAAACCACGAGAAATAAAGAATCTCTATAACATACTTCACTTGTTTGGTTGAATAGATTGTCCCTTAAAACCACGAGAAACAAAGAATCTCTACAACATACTTCACTTGTTTGGTTGAATAGATTGTCCATAAAAAACCACGAGAAATAAAGAATCTCTACAACATACTTCACTTGTTTGGTTGAATAGATTGTCCATTAAAACCACGAGAAATAAAGAATCTCTACAACATACTTCACTTGTTTGGTTGAATAGATTGTCCATTAAAACCACGAGAAACAAAGAATCTCCATAACATACTTCACTTGTTTGGTTGAATAGATTGTCCATAAAAAACCACGAGAAATAAAGAATCTCTACAACATACTTCACTTGTTTGGTTGAATAGATTGTCCATTAAAACCACGAGAAATAAAGAATCTCTACAACATACTTCACTTGTTTGGTTGAATAGATTGTCCTTTAAAACCACGAGAAATAAAGAATCTCTACAACATACTTCACTTGTTTGGTTGAATAGATTGTCCATAAAAAACCACGAGAAATAAAGAATCTCTACAACATACTTCACTTGTTTGGTTGAATAGATTGTCCATAAAAAACCACGAGAAATACACATCGTTAACACATTAATACGTCCTTTTTGTTTACCTCTTCCTTTATGTTTAACAGCAAAAGTTTATGCTTGACAGCAACAGTTTATGACCGACAGCAACAGTTTATGCCCGACAGCAAGAGTTTATGCCCGACAGCAAGAGTTTACGCCCGACAGCAAGAGTTTATGCCCGACAGCAAGAGTTTATGCCCGACAGCAGTAGTTCATGGGTGGAACAATAATTTAAATAGCGCTTTAATGAAACGTTAGCCCCATACATGTAAACAATCTATTGAGTAAATAAGTCACTGTCTAAATGTTTGAGTGTTATCAAGTAATTTAGGAGCGTGGCATCCTGACAGAAGTCAGTGACAGATCAAAATCCTAAATATTACTAGTGAATGACTGTTGACAGATCACCAGGGTAAACTGAACCATCCCTCCTGCCTCAAGAGACGGGCAGTGGCGAAGCTACAGTTAGGACCGCCCATGGGGGCGGGGGCGCTGCCAAGACTTTTACCACCGCCTTTCCCCACGAAATAAACGCCTCTGCTCAGTAGGCCGAAAATGGCACTAACCCACGAAAAGAAAAGATTGTCTACCGGAGAGCGGCCCGCAACCTAAGCCTTTGGAGGACAGAGGACCAACGTACATCAGCATGCTCTCATAGCCCGAGTTTCGTGACTGTGAAGAAAAGTCCGTCACTTGCCCATACAAAGGGTGACATCTCCACTAAATTTTACCGGTCTTTCAACGCTGCAGCTATCTCTTTAATTCTTATTTCAGACACGTTGAACTTCACGCGAAAAGATAATATTGATGTAAATGTTGCAGTCAAAGCCCGAAGTCGGCCTGGTCGCGAACTAGCCGGCAATTTCAACGAAGTCGGCCTGGTCGCGAACTAGCCGGCAATTTCAACGAAGTCGGCCTGGTCGCGAAATAGCCGGCAATTTCAACGAAGTCGGCCTGGTCGCGAACTAGCCGGCAATTTCCGATATCTTCTTGATTTTTCGGGTGGCCGATTTTGCAAAGTGGCATGAGGCGATCGGCCATTTTCACGGTGTTCTTTTTAATTTTTTTTGATATCTCTGCCCACGGGCTCAATCGTTTGTGAGCAGTTTAGCGTTCAGAATGGACAATGCAGTTCTGGAGCAGGCGTTGTCTGAGAACTCTGTCCCTAGCTTCGGTGATCGGCACAAAAAGTCCTTTCATCAAAACATCGATTTTTGGTCAAGGGGTTACCGCCACTTCATGAAATAGACGACCCAAGTAAAATATAAACTGGTTATTCCCCCCCCCCCGCCCCCACCGGGTCCTAGCTTTCCCTATCGGGCCACATAGCACGTCGTCAGTCTATTTCTCTCACTGGTCGCACTTTGGACTTTCACCGTAAAAAGAGTAAAGGCACATGAACATACAATCGTAAGAGAATACTCTATTTTTTGTAAAAAAATCAATTTTAACGTGGTCGAGGTACAGTTGAATAATAAACATATAACACAAAGAAGCCGTATGTTTATGTCTGCTTCATGCTATGAGCATGCTAGCCTTTTTTTTTCTGGCATCCGTCCGTCACGATGGTGTAGGACGAAATCAACAAGGATAATTCTTTGTTAGGATTATAAGCGGGTTCCCACACAGCAAATCGCCTGTTCCCCCCCCCCCAACCCACTGGATAACCCCAAGAGAACATCATATCGGGGATACAGCCTGGCACCAGGGCCGGAATATTTCCTTTGTGTCAATGTCATCCGCCTACGGGACTCCAACTCCGGGTTTGATTCCCGAGTTTCCTTCTCCTAGATGAGTTGCCACCCAAGTCATCCAAGATTAACGAGTCCCACCCTCCCGGGCAGCACGCTACTACCATATACACGGAAACCACGCTTTGTATCCTTCTAAATCTTAACAAAAAACCTATTGAAAATAAAGGTGTCCTAAAATGAATCATAATAAAAATAGAATATAAATAGAGACATTTTGTTAAGACGTGCAGTTTGACTAGAAGCAGGTCACCCGAGGTAAGACTAGATGTTGTGATTGTAGCCATTGTGATGGTGTGTGGAGGTAAGACTATATGTTGTGATTGTAGCCATTGTGATGGTGTGTCGAGGTAAGACTATATGTTGTGATTGTAGCCATTGTGATGGTGTGTGGAGGTAAGACTATATGTTGTGATTGTAGCCATTGTGATGGTGTGTGGAGGTAAGACTAGATGTTGTGATTGTAGCCATTGTGATGGTGTGTGGAGGTAAGACTAGATGTTCTGATTGTAGCCATTGTGATGGTGTTTGGAGGTAAGACTAGATGTTGTGATTGTAGCCATTGTGATGGTGTTTGGAGGTAAGACTAGATGTTGTGATTGTAGCCATTGTGATGGTGTTTGGAGGTAAGACTAAATGTGGGGGACTAATCATTTACTGTTAGATCTAGGGATTGATTTTGACACAGCATATCGCGGGTTATTTCAGTTGGTTTACCGTGCACGTTCTCTTGCACGCCGTATTTTCTCCCAGGCACTTTCCATTTCAATATGGGCCTTTCTGTTATACTGAACAATCCTTCAGTCTCCCTCTCTAACTCTTCTTCTCCGTCTCTCTCTCTCTCTCTCTCTCTCTCTCTCTATCTCTCTATCTCTCTCTCTCTCTCTCTCTCTATCTCTCTCTCGGCCGAGGTCGCTGAACTTCTATTAGCGCTATACACATTTTTATTTTAATATCTCATCAATTTATTCTTCCATTAACTAATGAAATATGCATATTAAAAAGACAACAACAATGTTTACCGTGCACGTTCTCTTGCACGCCGTATTTTCTCCCAGGCACTTTCCATTTCAATATGGGCCTTTCTGTTATACTGAACAATCCTTCAGTCTCCCTCTCTATCTCTTCTTCTCCGTCTCTCTCTCTCTCTCTCTCTCTCTCTCTCTATCTCTCTATCTCTCTCTCTCTCTCTCTCTCTCTATCTCTCTCTCGGTCGAGGTCGCTGAACTTCAATTAGCGCTATAGACATTTTTATTTTAATATCTCATCAAGTGATTCTTCCATTAACTAATGAAACATGCATATTAAAAAAGACAACAACAAGCCACAGCGCTCTTGTAACCATTCAGAAAACGGACATCACAACTTAGACGCCAGACGAAGGTCAGCTTCAAATACACAAGAGTGGCGGCAGTCGAGGGACTCTGATCTAGTGAACACATCTCGTGAAGAGGAGAGATCAGAGCAGAGAGACAGAGTAAATGAGGAGAGATCAGAGCAGTGAAACAGAGTAAATGAGGAGAGATCAGAGCAGTGAGACAGATTAAATGAGGAGAGATAAGAGCAGTGAGACAGATTAAATGAGGACAGATCAGAGCAGTGAGACAGATTAAATGAGGAGAGATAAGAGCAGTGAGACAGATTAAATGAGGACAGATCAGAGCAGTGAGACAGATTAAATGAGGAGAGATAAGAGCAGTGAGACGGATTAAATGAGGAGAGATCAGAGCAGTGAGACAGACTAAATGAGGAGAGATCAGAGCAATGAGACAAACTCATTGAGGAGAGATCAGAGCAGTGAGACAGATTAAATGAGGAGAGATCAGAGCAGTGAGACGGATTAAATGAGGAGAGATCAGAGCAGTGAGACGGATCACACGATGAGAGATCACAGCAGTGAGAAAGACTAAATGAGGAGAGATCAGAGCAGTGAGACAGATGAAATGAGGACAGATCAGAGCAGTGAGACAGATTAAATGAGAAGAGATATGAGCAGTGACACGGATTAAATGAGGAGAGATCAGAGCAGTAAGACAGACTAAATGAGGAGAGATCAGAGCAGTGAGACAGACTAAATGAGGAGAGATCAGAGCAGTGAGACAGATTCAATGAGGAGAGATCAGAGCAGTGAGACGGATTAAATGAGGAGAGATCAGAGCAGTGAGACAGATTAAATGAGGAGAGATCAGAGCAGTGAGACGGATTAAATGAGGAGAGATCAGAGCAGTGAGACGAATAACACGAGGCGAGATCAGAGCAGTGAGACAGATTAAAAGAGAAGAGATCAGAGCAGTGAGACGGATAAAAAGAAGAGAGATCAGAGCAGTGAGACAGATCAAGAGAGAAGAGATCAGAGCAGTAAGACAAATCAAAAGAGGAGAGATCAGAGCAGTGAGATGAATGAAAAGAGAAGAGATCAGAGCAGTGAAACAGATCAAAAGAAAAGAGATCAGAGCAGTGAGACATATCAAAAGAAGAGAGATCAGAGCAGTGAGACAGATCAAGAGAGAAGAGATCAGAGCAGTAAGACAAATCAAAAGAGGAGAGATCAGAGCAGTGAGATGAATGAAAAGAGAAGAGATCAGAGCAGTGAAACAGATCAAAAGAAAAGAGATCAGAGCAGTGAGACATATCAAAAGAAGAGAGATCAGAGCAGTGAGACAGATCAAGAGAGAAGAGATCAGAGCAGTAAGACAAATCAAAAGAGGAGAGATCAGAGCAGTGAGATGAATGAAAAGAGAAGAGATCAGAGCAGTGAAACAGATCAAAATAAAAGAGATCAGAGCAGTGAGACGGATCAAAAGAAGAGAGATCAGAGCAGTGAGACAGATCAAGAGAGAAGAGATCAGAGCAGTAAGACAAATCAAAAAGAGGAGAGATCAGAGCAGTGAGATGAATGAAAAGAGAAAAGATCAGAGCAGTGAAACAGATCAAAATAAAAGAGATCAGAGCAGTGAGACGGATCAAAAGAAGAGAGATCAGAGCAGTGAGACAGATCAAGAGAGAAGAGATCAGAGCAGTAAGACAAATCAAAAAGAGGAGAGATCAGAGCAGTGAGATGAATGAAAAGAGAAAAGATCAGAGCAGTGAGACAGATTAAAAGAAATCATTGCATAATTTGAAGACTCTAAAACTGATAAGAAGGGTACATCATTGCTTTTAAATTTAGAAAAAAATGATTTATTAGTTTATACTTTATAGCATTACCGTAACTGCTGATGACATCCTCATGAGCATATTAACGAACAGACGTCTAGTATTAAATCCAAAAGATATCTAGTATTAACGAACAGATATCTAGTATTAACGAACAGATGTCTAGTATTAACGAACATATATCTAGTATTAACGAACAGATATCTAGTATTAACGAACATATATCTGGTATTAACCAACAAATATCTAGTATTAACGAACAGATGTCTAGTATTAACGAACAGATGTCTAGTATTAACAAACAGATGTCTAGTATTAACGAACAGATGTCTAGTATTAACGAACAGATGTCTAGTATTAACGAACAGATATCTAGTATTAACCAACAGATATCTAGTATTAACGAACAGATGTCTAGTATTAACGAACAGATGCCTAGTATTAACGAACAGATGCCTAGTATTAACGAACAGATGCCTAGTATTAACGAACAGATGTCTAGTATTAACGCACAGATGTCTAGTATTAACGCACAGATGTCTAGTATTAACGAACAGATGTCTAATATTAACGAACAGATGTCTAGTATTAACGAACAGATGTCTAGTATTAAAGAACAGATGTCTAGTATTAACGAACAGATGTCTAGTATTAACCAACAGATGTCTAGTATTAACGAACAGATGTCTAGTATTAACGAACAGATGTCTAGTATTAACAAACAGATGTCTAGTATTAACGAACAGATGTCTAGTATTAACGAACATATGTCTAGTATTAACGAACAGATGTCTAGTATTAACGAACAGATGTCTAGTATTAACGAACAGATATCTGGTATTAACGAACAGATATCTAGTATTAACGAACAGATATCTAGTATTAACGAACAGATATCTAGTATTAACGAACAGATATCTAGTATTAACGAACAGATATCTAGTATTAACCAACAGATATCTAGTATTAACCAACAGATATCTAGTATTAACCAACAGATATCTAGTATTAACCAACAGATATCTAGTATTAACGAACATATATGTAGTATTAACGAAGAGATATCTAGTATTAACGAAGAGATATCTAGTACTAACGAAGAGATATCTAGTATTAACGAAGAGATATCTAGTATTAACCAATAGATATCTAGTATTAACGAACAGATATCTAGTATTAACGAACAGATATCTAGTATTAACGAACAGATATCTAGTATTAACGAACAGATGTCTAGTATTAACGAACAGATGTCTAGTATTAAAGAACAGATATCTAGTATTAACGAACATATATCTAGTATTAACGAACAGATATCTAGTATTAACGAACAGATATCTAGTAATAACGAACAGATGTCTAGTATTAACCAACAGATATCTAGTATTAACGAACAGACGTCTAGTATTAAATCCAAAAGATATCTAGTATTAACGAACAGATATCTAGTATTAACGAACAGATGTCTAGTATTAACGAACATATATCTAGTATTAACGAACAGATATCTAGTATTAACGAACATATATCTGGTATTAACCAACAAATATCTAGTATTAACGAACAGATATCTAGTATTAACGAACAGATATCTAGTATTAACGAACAGATATCTAGTATTAACGAACAGATATCTAGTATTAACGAACAGATGTCTAGTATTAACGAACAGATATCTAGTATTAACGAACAGATATTTAGTATTAACGAACATATATCTGGTATTAACCAACAAATATCTAGTATTAACGAACATATATCTGGTATTAACCAACAAATATCTAGTATTAACGAACAGATATCTAGTATTAACGAACAGATATCTAGTATTAACGAACAGATGTCTAGTATTAACGAACAGATATCTAGTATTAACGAACAGATATCTAGTATTAACGAACAGATATCTAGTATTAACGAACATATTTCTGGTATTAACCAACAAATATCTAGTATTAACCAACAAATATCTAGTATTAACGAACAGATATCTAGTATTAACGAACAGATATCTAGTATTAACGATATGTGTGTATGACGACTTTATCATACACATGTAACTTCATCTTTATTTTTATATACAAAAACTTCCTTTTTAGAGAGATATTTTTTTTTAAAATTCTGCTTTACGAAATGCTCTTTTATGTCTCAAGTTATTTTTGAAAGGTGGACAAGGTTGCGTATAAACTTTCGCTACCAACCTTCACTATTTTCAGACAATTCGTTTAAAAAAAAACAACAACACAATTTGTTAAGACTATTTACTGATATGTTTTAAGAACAATTTGCTTCCAAAACTAATTGCTGAAAATTCTCACGCCACTGGACCACAAGGAAGTTGTATATTTCAGCGCTTGTCTGGAGACCAACAGGAAGCCAGGGAGATGTAATATTTTGATAATACCACGTGAGTGGGGCTTGAGGACGAGCGAGAGTGTGGGGGGGGGGGGGGGGGGGGGGGGGGGGGGGGGGGGGGGGGGGGGGGGGGGTGGGCACGAGAGCGTGGGGGCCGGTACGAGAGCGTGGGATTGGGTGTGAGGTGGTTTCAAAGGTACCAGTATTAGTGAAGACTAGTATTACTGTTGTACTTTTGTCGCTGTACTTTTGACAATCGTACGTTATTACGATCCTGTCTAACAAGTGCATCCTGGTCGGCTTAGCGACGCCAAATTTTTTTCACTTCAATCGTGGGCGCACACGAGCACGTGATATTGGACTTTGCATTGACAACACTCTCAATTGTTCGCTCTGCAAATGAACTTTTAAATACCACCCAAGACGCTCAGGAGAGTCAAATGGTGTTAGTATACTGTTCTTATTAAAAAAAAAACAAAAAAAAAAACCCCACACCAAATCATTCGTTTTCAGCATAGATGCCGTTGTGGGCGCACACGAGCACGTGATATTGGACTTTGCATTGACAACACTCTCAATTGTTCGCTCTGCAAATGAATTTTTAAATACCACCCAAGACGCTCAGGAGAGTCAAATGGTGTTAGTATACTGTTCTTATTAAAAAAAAAACAAAAAAAAAAAACCCCACACCAAATCATTCGTTTTCAGCATAGATGCCGTGGCTGACAGCCCCGAAACACGATATCAACAATGGCATTTCTAGCTCACATCATTCCTGTCTGCTTCGCGTGTCTCCTTGCCCCATGCCTGTCAGTGAAGCGTAAGTTAAACACCGTGCCGTATAAGTAGTTTTAATTTAGACTAAACCATTCAATATTTTATTGGTATCTTTTCTTTTGTTTCTTTAAAATTTAACATTTGACCCATTTTAGATATATGTTTTAGCTGTTTCAATAAGTAGGCCAGGAACGTAGTGCTGTGCGTCCAGTTGTTTTGACCTACAGCTGTTTCAATATGTAGGTCAGGAATTTAGTGCTGTTCATGTAGTTTTTAGACCTACATCTGTTTCAATATGTAGGTCATGAACGTAGTGTTGTTCATTCAGTTGTTTTGACCGCCAGCTGTTTCAATATGTAGGTCAGGACGTAGTGCTGTGCGTCCAGTTGTTTTGACCCACAGCTGTTTCAATATGTAGGTCAGGAATGTAGTGCTGTTAATGTAGTTTTTTCGACCTACATCGGTTTAAATATGTAAATCAGAAACGTAGGGCTGTGCATTCAGTTGTATTGACCTAAAGATATTTTAGCCTCTACCGAGCTTTGTACTCTCCTGAAATGGTTAGTGGGCATTTCTTTAAAATGAGCCACAACGTCTACACTAAGTATGCAGCAAATATTTCCGACAACTGTTGGAGCATTGGAGTACGGTACATCATATAATCTTGATAATAAAACAAAACGGGATCATTTTAAAACTCAGCTACCATGTTCTGGCCATCCTCTTTTCATCTTCTGACCATCTTGTGGACATCTTCTGGTCATCTTGCGGCCATGTTCTAACCATTTTGCGGTCATCTTCTGGACACATTCTGACCATCTTCTGGCCATCTTCTGACCATCTTGTCACCATCTTCTGACCATCTTGTGGATATCTTCTGGCCACATTCTGGCCATCTTCCGGTTATCTTCTTACTATCTTCTACAAATCTTTTGGACATCTTCAGACCATCTTCTGGCATTCTTCTTACAATATTCTCACAATATTTTGGCCATCTTCTGGGCATCTTCTGGCCACATTCTGACCATGTTGTGGACATCTTCTGACCATCTTGTGGCCATCTTCTGGCCCTCTTATGGAACTCTTCTGACATCTTGTGGACATCTTCTGGTCATATTCGGACCATCTTCTGGTCATCTTCTAGCCATCTTCTAGCTATCAGCTGTAACAGGACAAAATGATGAAATAATACATTTTTACACAATAGCCGACAGAAAAAAAAGAGATTTTCTATTAATAAAATGACACGTTTTGCGACACCCTCTCACAAATATTTTTTGTGTTGGCATCTTACAAGCTGTGAGATGTGTAGTTAGGTTTAAAGATGAGTTCCAGCTAATCACGACTTACTTCATGGCAAAAGCTTGATTACTAATTACAAAGCAATATCTAACTGCATGAGTCCCAAAAATGAACATTTTTTATATCAAAGGCGAAGTCTACACTGACTTCACTATCATTCAATACATTTTGTGGTCTTGACAAAATAACTTTTGTATTTCTTCAATTGTTATAAAATCTACGTCTCTTAGTACATTCAATTGTTATAAAATCTACGTCTCTTAGTACATTCAATTGTTATAAAATCTACGTCTCTTAGTACATTCAATTGTTATAAAATCTACGTCTCTTAGTACATTCAATTGTTATAAAATCTACGTCTCTTAGTACATTCAATTGTTATAAAATCTACGTCTCTTAGTACATTCAATTGTTATGAAATCTACGTGTCTTAGTACATTCAATTGTTATAAAATCTACGTCTCTTAGTACATTCAATTGTTATAAAATCTACGTCTCTTAGTACATTCAATTGTTATAAAATCTACGTCTCTTAGAACATTCAATTGTTATAAAATCTACGTCTCTTAGTACATTCAATTGTTATAAAATCTACGTCTCTTAGTACATTCAATTGTTATAAAATCAACGTCTCTTAGTACATTCAATTGTTATAAAATCTACGTCTCTTAGTACATTCAATTGTTATAAAATCTACGTCTCTTAGTACATTCAATTGTTATAAAATCTACGTCTCTTAGTACATTCAATTGTTATGAAATCTACGTGTCTTAGTACATTCAATTGTTATAAAATCTACGTCTCTTAGTACATTCAATTGTTATAAAATCTACGTCTCTTAGTACATTCAATTGTTATAAAATCTACGTCTCTTAGAACATTCAATTGTTATAAAATCTACGTCTCTTAGTACATTCAATTGTTATAAAATCTACGTCTCTTAGTACATTCAATTGTTATAAAATCAACGTCTCTTAGTACATTCAATTGTTATAAAATCTACGTCTCTTAGTACATTCAATTGTTATAAAATCTACGTCTCTTAGTACATTCAATTGTTATAAAATCTACGTCTCTTAGTACATTCAATTGTTATAAAATCTACGTCTCTTAGTACATTCAATTGTTATAAAATCTACGTCTCTTAGTACATTCAATTGTTATAAAATCTACGTCCCTTAGTACATTCAATTGTTATAAAATCTAAGTTTCTTAGTACATTCAATTGTTATAAAATCTACGTCTCTTAGTACATTCAATTGTTATAAAATCTACGTTTCTTAGTACATTCAATTGTTATAAAATCTACGTTTCTTAGTACATTCAATTGTTATAAAATCTACGTCTCTTAGTACATTCAATTGTTATAAAATCTACGTCTCTTAGTACATTCAATTGTTATAAAATCTACGTCTCTTAGTACATTCAATTGTTATAAAATCTACGTCTCTTAGTACATTCAATTGTTATAAAATCTACGTCTCTTAGTACATTCAATTGTTATAAAATCTACGTCTCTTAGTACATTCAATTGTTATGAAATCTACGTGTCTTAGTACATTCAATTGTTATAAAATCTACGTCTCTTAGTACATTCAATTGTTATAAAATCTACGTCTCTTAGTACATTCAATTGTTATAAAATCTACGTCTCTTAGAACATTCAATTGTTATAAAATCTACGTCTCTTAGTACATTCAATTGTTATAAAATCTACGTCTCTTAGTACATTCAATTGTTATAAAATCAACGTCTCTTAGTACATTCAATTGTTATAAAATCTACGTCTCTTAGTACATTCAATTGTTATAAAATCTACGTCTCTTAGTACATTCAATTGTTATAAAATCTACGTCTCTTAGTACATTCAATTGTTATGAAATCTACGTGTCTTAGTACATTCAATTGTTATAAAATCTACGTCTCTTAGTACATTCAATTGTTATAAAATCTACGTCTCTTAGTACATTCAATTGTTATAAAATCTACGTCTCTTAGAACATTCAATTGTTATAAAATCTACGTCTCTTAGTACATTCAATTGTTATAAAATCTACGTCTCTTAGTACATTCAATTGTTATAAAATCAACGTCTCTTAGTACATTCAATTGTTATAAAATCTACGTCTCTTAGTACATTCAATTGTTATAAAATCTACGTCTCTTAGTACATTCAATTGTTATAAAATCTACGTCTCTTAGTACATTCAATTGTTATAAAATCTACGTCTCTTAGTACATTCAATTGTTATAAAATCTACGTCTCTTAGTACATTCAATTGTTATAAAATCTACGTCTCTTAGTACATTCAATTGTTATAAAATCTACGTCTCTTAGTAAATTCAATTGTTATAAAATCTACGTCCCTTAGTACATTCAATTGTTATAAAATCTAAGTTTCTTAGTACATTCAATTGTTATAAAATCTACGTCTCTTAGTACATTCAATTGTTATAAAATCTACGTCTCTTAGTACATTCAATTGTTATAAAATCTACGTCTCTTAGTACATTCAATTGTTATAAAATCTACGTCTCTTAGTACATTCAATTGTTATAAAATCTACGTCTCTTAGTACATTCAATTGTTATAAAATCTACGTCTCTTAGTACATTCAATTGTTATAAAATCTACGTCTCTTAGTACATTCAATTGTTATAAAATCTACGTCTCTTAGTACATTCAATTGTTATAAAATCTACGTCTCTTAGTACATTCAATTGTTATAAAATCTACGTCTCTTAGTACATTCAATTGTTATAAAATCTACGTCTCTTAGTACATTCAATTGTTATAAAATCTACGTCTCTTAGTACATTCAATTGTTATAAAATCTACGTCTCTTAGTACATTCAATTGTTATAAAATCTACGTCTCTTAGTACATTCAATTGTTATAAAATCTACGTCTCTTAGTACATTCAATTGTTATAAAATCTACGTCTCTTAGTACATTCAATTGTTATAAAATCTACGTCTCTTAGTACATTCAATTGTTATAAAATCTACGTCTCTTAGTACATTCAATTGTTATAAAATCTACGTCTCTTAGTACATTCAATTGTTATAAAATCTACGTCTCTTAGTACATTCAATTGTTATAAAATCTACGTCTCTTAGTACATTCAATTGTTATAAAATCTACGTCTCTTAGTACATTCAATTGTTATAAAATCTACGTCTCTTAGTACATTCAATTGTTATAAAATCTACGTCTCTTAGTACATTCAATTGTTATAAAATCTACGTCTCTTAGTACATTCAATTGTTATAAAATCTACGTCTCTTAGTACATTCAATTGTTATAAAATCTACGTCTCTTAGTACATTCAATTGTTATAAAATCTACGTCTCTTAGTACATTCAATTGTTATAAAATCTACGTCTCTTAGTACATTCAATTGTTATAAAATCTACGTCTCTTAGTACATTCAATTGTTATAAAATCTACGTCTCTTAGTACATTCAATTGTTATAAAATCTACGTCTCTTAGTACATTCAATTGTTATAAAATCTACGTCTCTTAGTACATTCAATTGTTATAAAATCTACGTCTCTTAGTAAATTCAATTGTTATAAAATCTACGTCTCTTAGTACATTCAATTGTTATAAAATCTACGTTTCTTAGTACATTCAATTGTTATAAAATCTACGTTTCTTAGTACATTCAATTGTAATAAAATCTTCGTCTTTTATCTATTCAATTAATTCAACGTCTACGTCGCTTAGTACGGCACATTCAATTGTTATAAAATTTACGATTCTTAGTACATTAAAATGCAATTCTTTTACCCCATGTACAAAAGGTAAATTATAAGCACATCCAAAAGCCTAAGTACAGACAATCCTAATGATACACCAATCCTAAGTACACACAAACCTAATGATACTCCAATCCTAAGTAAACACAAAGCTCAAATACACACACAATTTTAAGTACGCATACAATCTTAAGCACACACATACTCACACACACACAGACACACACACTCACACACACAAACACACACACACACACACAAACACACACACACACAAACACAAACACACATACACACACATATACACACACACACAATCCTAAGGACACAGTTTGAAATTCAGGTTTTAATCAAAGTCAAAATATTAATTTTCATTCCACCGCTGACCAATGCCACGTAGACTGTCAGTTCGGATGGTTCGGGCCAGAATGTCAATACTTGTGTCACTGCCAAATGTGGTGCCGACCAGATGGACACTGCGAGGGCGGGTGTGACAGGGGATGGTTCGGACCACAGTGCCAGTACGGTGGGTATTTGGGCTACTTATTCGGGCTACTTATTCGGGCTACTTATTCGGGCTACTTATTCGGGCTACTTTATTCTTCATAAGGGTGCTCAATGTTTTTGGGTATTAATAATTTCTAGACCTATTCAAAATTTAAGGAATTTCTTTAGTTTACAGAGGTACTCGACATTTGTTTGGTATTTTAGCATTTCTAAAATTGTTTATTTTACTTTTAATTTTTAATTTTTTTCCCTCGTATTCACGGATTTTATAATTTCAATGGAATATTAACTCCTTGTGTATGTTTTAAAAAAAAAATACATTTTTGATACACAACATTTGTGGTGTTTTATCTTTTATAGAGTTTATCTCAATATTAATAGAGATCATAATTTGTAACGGCGCTCAGTATTTGTAATGAAATTGAACCAATGTGATGTTCATCATTTCTAGAGATGCCCGCATTCTTTGTATTTCATCATCTCTAGATTTTTGGTTTTTGCTCAGTCTTTAGGGAGAGTTTATAATTTCAACAGATAATGAAACTTTGGTTCATTATAGCATATTTAAGGATTTTAAAAAATGAATTGGGATCACCGGGTATTTAAACAAGAATTATTTAGAGAGATACCGAAAAGTTGGGATATTCTACCATTACTTGAGGTACTCATAGATTGGGGTATTTTGTCATTTCCAGAGTTAGCCATAAATTGGGATATTGTATCATTCCTAGAGTGTGTAATCAATGAGGATATTTATTGTTTCTAGAGTTACTCAACAATTGGGGTATTTTATCCTTTCTAGAGATACTTAACATGTCGGAGCCTTTACTATGGTTCAGTTTCCCTCGCTATAAGTATTATTTCTTAAATATTATTTTATTTCTAATTCTCCATGTCTTTTAAAATTTTTATTTAGAGCTAAAATCCCATCTCCGCTGTTCTTTCTACGCTGCATCATTGTCTTCTTTTTTCCATGATTCCCTTGGTATTCACAAGTTCTCTCAATCGTCTGTATTTTCATATCTTGCACCCACTCCCCTGCCAACTGACTTTCTACATTCACCATATCGTCTCCTCAACTCTGTGACTCTTTACTTCGTTCTCACCTGGAGATATAACGGTGGGCGGCTACACTATCTGTCACTCTCTACTTAACTTATCATTGTTCTCATCTAGAGGATATAACAGTGGGCGCTACACTGAGACCAGACGTGGACAAGAGATTGTTTGATGGCAACGATAGGACCTGCAACTCCAACAATGGATCACGTGACATCAAGATGTTCTGGACAGCGCAACAGCCAGTGGTGTGGATAAGAATCGCCGTGGATGATCCAGGTTTGGGATCTTTGCACGTCATACAAATATTTTCCTTCATACGGAACTCCATTTATAGTTTGGTGAACATCCACATTAGGGGCAAGACGCTGTAACAAGATAAGCTAAACCAGGGCTCTCAAATTCGCGGCCTGCGGACCACTTGAGGCCGCCAAGTTGAAATTTTGTGGCCCGACAGCTGATAGCAAAGTTAAGGGTTGATGCGGCCCAATTTCACTCAGACTGTACCTTCTGCGGCCCCCGGATAATTTGAGTTTGAGAACCCTGATCTAAACCAACGATTAAAATCATTAGCAAGTTTGGTCAGTTAATTTGCAAATGAATAAGCACCAGACTGATTGATTGGATCTTCATGTAGCGCTGGTATCCATGCTACTTTAGCATAATCACTGCGCCTTGGTTTCCTTAAATCAGACTGGTTGGCCACCATTTGACATTTTAAGCAAAATTACTTTTTAAATAAATATATTTCAGAACGGTTGAGTCGGGATAAAAAAAGTGAAAAAGTAAAGTGGTCTTGGGGACTAAACCGTGTGCCGAAATGTCAGCTCTTCAGCTCATCGGGAAGGGAACTAAATAGTTGACCCTATAACAAGCAAAAGGCAAAGCACATAAGTGACTTTGAAAGAGAGTCTAGATTAGTTTTTTTTTAGATTGCTTTGAGAGAGTCTAGATTAGTTTTTTTAGATGCTTTGAGAGAATCTAGATTAGGTTTTTGTAGATTGCTTTGAGAGAGTCTAGATTAGGTTCTTTAGATTGCCTTAAGAGAGTCTAGATTAGGTTCTTTAGATTGCCTTGAGAGAGTCTAGGTTAGATCTTTTAGATCGCTTGATGTACTCAATGCATTTTTGTGTTATGCCTCTAGCTCACGTCTCCATGCATCCCTTACTTTATGTGTCTGCCTCTAGCTCGCGTCTCCATGCTTCCCTTACTTTATGTGTCTGCCTCTAGCTCGCGTCTCCATGCATCCCTTACTTTATGTGTCTGCCTCTAGCTCGCGTCTCCATGCATCCCTTACTTTATGTGTCTGCCTCTAGCTCGCGTCTCCATGCATCCCTTACTTTATGTGTCTGCCTCTAGCTCGCGTCTCCATGCATCCCTTACTTTATGTGTCTGCCTCTAGCTCGCGTCTCCATGCATCCCTTACTTTATGTGTCTGCCTCTAGCTCGCGTCTCCATGCATCCCTTACTTTATGTGTCTGCCTCTAGCTCGCGTCTCCATGCATCCCTTACTTTATGTGTCTGCCTCTAGCTCGCGTCTCCATGCATCCCTTACTTTATGTGTCTGCCTCTAGCTCGCGTCTCCATGCATCCCTTACTTTATGTGTCTGCCTCTAGCTCGCGTCTCCATGCATCCCTTACTTTATGTGTCTGCCTCTAGCTCGCGTCTCCATGCATCCCTTACTTTATGTGTCTGCCTCTAGCTCGCGTCTCCATGCATCCCTTACTTTATGTGTCTGCCTCTAGCTCGCGTCTCCATGCATCCCTTACTTTATGTGTCTGCCTCTAGCTCGCGTCTCCATGCATCCCTTACTTTATGTGTCTGCCTCTAGCTCGCGTCTCCATGCATCCCTTACTTTATGTGTCTGCCTCTAGCTCGCGTCTCCATGCATCCCTTACTTTATGTGTCTGCCTCTAGCTCGCGTCTCCATGCATCCCTTACTTTATGTGTCTGCCTCTAGCTCGCGTCTCCATGCATCCCTTACTTTATGTGTCTGCCTCTAGCTCGCGTCTCCATGCATCCCTTACTTTATGTGTCTGCCTCTAGCTCGCGTCTCCATGCATCCCTTCCTTTATGTGTCTGCCTCTAGCTCGCGTCTCCATGCATCCCTTACTTTATGTGTCTGCCTCTAGCTCGCGTCTCCATGCATCCCTTACTTTATGTGTCTGCCTCTAACTCGTGTTTTCATTTATCCCATACTTTCTGTTTATATGTGCTGGTTGATACGTACCATTTGATATGTGCTCATTGATTCAAATCTATTCATATGTTCTCGTATATATGTACCAGTTTTTACGTGTCCACTGACATATATTTGTTAATTATATGCCCTGTAACATATCCACGTGGATATTATCCAATTGAATTGCAACTGTTTACTTGCATGGAATGTTTGATTCTATAATTACACACATACACAATTAATCATATATCCTATCAATGTATCACATGTAGATTGTGCAATTTATATAAACTATACTATCAATCTATCAGAAGTAGATTGGGCTATTATTCTAAGCTGTCCTATCAATGTATCACATGTAGATTGTGCTATTATTCTAACCTCTCCTTTCAATGTATCACATGTAGGTTGTTCTATTTATCTAACCAATCCTATCAATGTATCACATGTAGGTTGCTCTATTTATCTAACCAATCCTATCAATGTATCACATGTAGGTTGTTCTATTTATCTAACCAATCCTATCAATGTATCACATGTAGGTTGTTCTATTTATCTAACCAATCCTATCAATGTATCACATGTAGGTTGTTCTATTTATCTAACCAATCCTATCAATGTATCACATGTAGGTTGTTCTATTTATCTAACCAATCCTATCAATGTATCACATGTAGGTTGTTCTATTTATCTAACCAATCCTATCAATGTATCACATGTAGGTTGTTCTATTTATCTAACCAATCCTATCAATGTATCACATGTAGGTTGTTCTATTTATCTAACCAATCCTATCAATGTATCACATGTAGGTTGTTCTATTTATCTAACCAATCCTATCAATGTATCACATGTAGGTTGTTCTATTTATCTAACCAATCCTATCAATGTATCACATGTAGGTTGTTCTATTTATCTAACCAATCCTATCAATGTATCACATGTAGGTTGTTCTATTTATCTAACCAATCCTATCAATGTATCACATGTAGGTTGTTCTATTTATCTAACCAATCCTATCAATGTATCACATGTAGGTTGTTCTATTTATCTAACCAATCCTATCAATGTATCACATGTAGGTTGTTCTATTTATCTAACCAATCCTATCAATGTATCACATGTAGGTTGTTCTATTTATCTAACCAATCCTATCAATGTATCACATGTAGGTTGTTCTATTTATCTAACCAATCCTATCAATGTATCACATGTAGGTTGTTCTATTTATCTAACCAATCCTATCAATGTATCACATGTAGGTTGTTCTATTTATCTAACCAATCCTATCAATGTATCACATGTAGGTTGTTCTATTTATCTAACCAATCCTATCAATGTATCACATGTAGGTTGTTCTATTTATCTAACCAATCCTATCAATGTATCACATGTAGGTTGTTCTATTTATCTAACCAATCCTATCAATGTATCACATGTAGGTTGTTCTATTTATCTAACCAATCCTATCAATGTATCACATGTAGGTTGTGCAGTGTATCTGATTAAAATCCCAGAAATGGTGCACATAAGAAGCCGGACACACCCCCTTTTCTTTCAAAACGCTAATGTGGGTTGAAATGAATTGACGACCTTCTTAAACGTACTGACTGCTATTCCTCTTTTCCCAGATCACCTCAGACTGGTCCACAATCTAAGTTCTGACAGGCATTCCTCTTTTCCCAGATCACCTCAGACTGGTCCAGAATCTAAGTTCTGACAGCCATTCCTCTTTTCCCAGATCACCTCAGACTGGTATAGAATCTAAGTACCGACAGATATTCCTCTTTTCCCAGATCACCTCAGACTGGTACAGAATCTAAGTTCTGACAGCTATTCCCATTTTTCGAGATCACCGCAGACTGGTACAGAATCTAAGTTCTGACAGCTATTCCCATTTTCCGAGATCCCCTCAGACTGGTCCAGAATCTAAGTTCTGACAGCCATTCCCATTTTCTGAGATCACCTCAGACTGGTACAGAATCTAAGTTCTGACAGCTATTCCTCTTTTCCGAGATCACCCCAGACTGGTCCAGAATCTAACATCTGACAGCTATTCCTTTTTTTCCAGATCACCTGAGACTGGAACAGAATCTAAGTTCTGACAACTATTCCAATTTTCCGAAATCACCTCAGACCGGTCCAGAATCTAAGTTCTGACAGCTATTCCTCTTTTCCCAGATAACCTCAGACTGGTCCAGAATCTAAGTTCTGACAGCTATTCCTCTTTTCCCAGAAAACCTCAGACTGGTCCAGATTCTAAGTATTTCGTTTGGTGTTAATGTGACCAGTGAGGATAAAAAAATGGTCATCATCGGGTCAAGGACGATGGACATCCACTTCGCACGAATTCTGACGAGCGACCTTGAGCTGAGTGGAGACGCCGTGCCTCATATTTGCTCTGTCTACGCCACTGCAGGTCGGTCCTGATGGAAGTATTGATCATAAAATTTAGAATTGCTGTATTTTCTTTAATTACCCGTTTCTGAAACAATTCCGTCAATTAAAAAAAATAATAAAAAAATTATCGCTTAATATTTTTTTATTCGTCCGATCCTCGGTTTAATTTATTTTAAAATTCTCAAAAAGTTCCACAGGTTGTGTGTATTCAAATAAATGTTTTTATTTCTCATGTGTTAGCATTGGAACTGTGTGATGTCAGCACGCGAATCTACGCATGATGGAGAAGATGATAAGTAAACGGGCTGGATGAACAGGCAACACTACCGTTAATATGAACAATGCTGATTGATAAAGTGATTAGTTTAATGATTGTTGGGGGGATATCGGCAATAGACGCATTTTTTTATGATGTAAGATATATATACACCCTCCTAAGCTTGAGGATGAGTAGCAACCTTGCAATAACAACACAAACGTACATATTGGTTTTGTATCAACATCTATTTGTATCAGACATCTATTGGTATCAGACATATTTTTGTATCAGACATCTATTTGTATCAGACATCTATTTGTATCAGACATGCCTTTTTGTCAGACATGCCTTTTTGTCAGACATGTATTTGTATCAGACATGTATTTGTATCAGACATGTATTTGTATCAGACATGTATTTGTATCAGGCATCTATTTTTATCAGCCGTCTATTTGTATCAGACATGTATTTGTATCAGACATGTATTTGTATCAGACATGTATTTGTATCAGACATGTATTTGTATCAGACATGTATGTATCAGCATCTATTTGTATCAGACATGTATTTGAATCAGACATGTATTTGTATCAGGCATCTATTTGTATCAGGCATGTATTTGTATCAGGCATCTATTTGTATCAGACATGTATTCGTATCAGACATGTATTCGTATCAGACATGTATTTGTATCAGACATGTATTTGTATCAGACATGTATTTGTATCAGACATGTATTTGCATCAGACATGTATTTGTATCAGACATGTATTTGTATCAGACATGTATTTGTATCAGACATGTATTTGTATCCGACATGTATTTGTATCCGACATGTATTTGTATCAGGCATGTATTTGTATCCGACATGTATATGTATCAGACATGTTTTTGTCACCAGGGCGTAACGTGGCCATCAAGCAAAGGGTCACCCAGTCCAGCGTCTACGCCGACCAAATTTGCGATGAGTCCTGCGCACTGCCGGAAAACGCGGTGGACGGCAGGCGAGATCCCAACCTGTTCGCTAAGAGCTGTACGCACACCAGGCATCAGAGCGTGCCCCCCAGCTGGAATCTGACCTTGCGCACCCCATCCTACGTCAACAAATATGTGCTTTACAACCGAGACGGTGCGTATCGCTATAGTGACACGAGTGAACGATGAGCAGAAGTGGCAAACAATATATTATCTGTCTTTCACGAAACATTTCCGACAATGTACCGGTAGTGATGGTAACTTATCAGACTTACAAATTTATCCACTTCTAGAAATATTTTACATGAAAGGAAATTAATGTACAGAGCTTCGCATTTAAATATTAATTGTAACGAATAAAGATAGATATGTATACACCTCTCAAACGCTTGTAAAGGCTTTGGACTGTCAAATAGTTATCAGAAAACAAATGGCAAGATGCAAGAAGCACCGTCCCTCTAAACATATCTGTTGAGGGCCATAATCTGTCAGTAATTGAGCATTTCCACATATAAAACCTTGTATCTATTATCTCTAATTGGCGACGAGGTAAACATCAGGATCACAAAAGCAGCAGCAACTGTGGCTAAATTAAATTGGCGGGTGTGGACTAATCTTTAACTAACTGATGTTAAAAAATGAAACTTCTATCAAGTATGTGTGTTTAAAATGCTCCTTTATGGCAGTGAAGTGTCGACCGCATATGCCAGTCATGAGCGGAAAATCAACAGCGTCTATCAAAGATGTCTGCGTCGCATTTTACGCATTCGATGGCAGGACAGGGTGCCCAACAAAGAGGAACGTGCAAAAATGCAAGAGGCGTCATCGCTAAGTAGACCATTTAAGGAGAATGGAGGAAGGCCGTTACCAAAAAAGCTGCTGTATGGAGAGTTAGCAGAATGGACAAGACTTATTGGACGGCCATGACTGCGTTTTACGTACGTTTGCAAAAGGAGAATGAGGGAAGCTAACATTGAAATAAACGAATGGGAGATCAGTGGTGAGCACCGATACAGCTGGCGAACAGCAGTGTATGAAGGAGTTAAAAAGACAGAAGCGTTCACAAAATAAAAAAGTGCATTACGGAAGACCAAATTAAACCGAAAGTCAAGATTCTCCTGTGCGAAATGCAACCTAGACTGCCCTTCCAGGATTGGCCTTGTAGGCCATTTGATGAAGTGTTCTTAGCGATTCCATCGTCTCGCGAAGGTGGAAGGATCCAACAAATGTTAAAGACTGTCTTAGTGCAATTGTTTGTTTACATATATATGTATTATGTATATATTCATATATTACCCAAAATGTGTAAACAAACAATTGCACAAAGACAATGTTTAACACACACACACACAGATGTACAAGAGAGTTTATTCGATTGGGCTAGCAGATATTAAGCAAAGGCTACATTTTTTTTTAATTGTAGACAGACCATTCTTAGTATTGCATTTGTTAGCAGGCCATCTTTACATTTATTTTTATTAACCGGCTATCCTTACAGTTTGTTTTTATAGGCACACCGTATTAAATATTGGTGGTTAACACGGCCTCCTAACATCAAATTTTTGTTCAACTTTCAAACCTTACATTGTTGTTTGTTAACAGTTTATTGGTACCGGTTGAGTAAATTTGAAATTTCTGTGACTACGTCAAGCTCTAAGTCGCTGAAGTACAATGACACCGCTTTGGTCCAGGCGGTCTATCACGTAGTGTCCATTGACGCCACGGAAGCCGTGAAGAGTGTCGTCATTAGAGCGATGCACGAGACCAAGATTCTCACCCTGTGCGAAGTGGAGTTGTATGGAGGTAGGAAGACATCTCCCAGGCACGTGTCGCGTGGAGATGTAAGAAATTTAAGGGACATGTTTGGTGCTTTGAGGATATGTGTTGTGGTATGTGAAGAAATTGTGGCATGCGGAGATTCTGTGGTATTTGAAGATTTGTGATATGTGAAGATTTTGTGACATCTGATGATGTGGTATGTGAAGATGTTGTGGTATGTGACAGTTTTGTGGTGTGTTAAGATGTTGGGGCATGTGAATATGTTGTAGTATGGGAAGAAATTGTTGTACGTGATGATGTTGTGGTATGTGAAGATTTTGTGGTATGCGAAAAATGTGTTGTATGTGAAGACGTTATGGACGATTGGTGTTCATTTTATGCGGCTCTGGGTAATTATAATTTGTTAAGTTTTTATTATTTAAATTTAGATGGCATTTCTTTATGTACTTAAATTAGTAGTTGTAATACTGATGTTTTTTATATCTAAAATAATACTCGTCAGAAATATTTAGTCATAGAAATGGTCAGTCATAGAAATGGTCAGTCATAGATATGGACAGTCATAGAAATGGTTAGTCATAGAAATGGTCAGTCATAGATATGGGCAGTCAAAAATAGTCACTAATTTCCAAATGCGGCAGGGACAAGTGCACTAATTTCCCAGTGCACCAGTGACCGGTGCACTTATTTCGAAATGCACAGGGGACCAGTGCACTAATTTCCCAGTGCACCAAGGACCGGTGCACTTATTTCGAAATGCACAAGGGACCAGTGCACTAATTTCCCAATGCGCACGTGACCAGTGACATGTTGATGTACTTTTGTTCTCATTTATTTGACCTTAAATATGTCATAAAATATTTTAAAATCCATAATGAGCCAATTCGATGGAACACGAAAAACTTTAGATATTAATGGTACCTGATATGTTGTTTTTTTTATTCATAAGGGTGTTTAAAAATATAAAAAAAAACACCAAAACTAAACAAATTCTAAAGCAAATTTTGATATTTTTACAACTTTAATTTATAATATTTGGTAGTAAAAAATTACTATTGGAGGAAGACACATTTTAGCTAGCAGTGACTATTTATTGAGAGACGTTGGCATGATTATGGCTTTTTATCACTCATCAAATCATGGCAGGACTGTAGACAGTGCTACACGGTCCGCGAACAACACCTTGAGAAGCGCTGTTATAAAATTATTAATAATGTATGTTTGGATGGCATGTTCCAGATGCTCAGTGTCCACGGGGATTCTACGGACGCGACTGTGAACTCCAGTGCAACTGTCGCAATCAAACAGAGCCATGTCTTGTCAGTACAGGAGGATGCGTGTCTGGCTGCCATGACGGCTTCATCGGAGCAGGTTGTCTGGCACGTGAGTTGGGCAGCCGTAGAAGAAGTGTGTCAGGGTATGCCGGTTGTTGAAGAGAGACTCAGTGTTGGGAACTGGAACTAATCGCGGGACATTTGGGTCTAGGCGTGGGGGGGCATACGATTCTACTGGTGGGGCATTAGGGTCTATTGGTGGGGCATTCGGGTCTACTGGTGGGACATTTGGGTCTAATTGGGGGCATTTATTTCTTATGGTGGTTCTTATGGTGGGGCATATATGTCTAATGGTGAGGAAATGGGATCTTATGATGGGGCATTAGGTTCTAATGGTGGGGCATTTGGGTCTAATGGTGGGGCATTTGGGTCTAATGGTGGGGCATTTGGGTCTAATGGTGGGACACTTGGGCCTAATGGTGAGGCATGTGGGTCTACTTGTGGTTGATTTTGGGTCTAATGGTGAGGCTTTTGGGTATGATATTGAGGCATTTGGGTCTAGTGGTGAGGCTTTTGGGTGTAGGGTAAGGGATGAATGCTGTACGTATACTTGTCAGTGTCAGTATGGATGTGTCTTGTTTTGATGAAAACTCCCACGGTTAGGACTATTTATATACATTGCTACGATAAACATTTTAGACAGTGTTGTGTTTTCACAAAATGATAAGTTTTGTCGGGATAACCGATCCACCAGTTTGGTTTTCAAATAATTGAAGATACACCAGCATGTTCCTTCTATCAAGGCTCTAAGCTGATCGTATTTGCAATAGCTTGGTTAAGATCCTTTCGATTTGTTGGCATGTTTGAACAGATTACCCGAATTGTCGCTATGAGAACATATATTCTTATCAAAATACAACCCTACAGCTGATCCGCTTGAAGAGTTCCTGAAACATGTTTTATTTTATCAAATCATCAGGTTAGTGTGTCACCTCGGTGACGGTGTGTCGCTGCACGTTAGTGTGTCACCTCGGTGATGGTGTGTCGCTGCACGCTAGTGTGTCACCTCGGTGACGGTGTGTCGCGGCACGTTAGTGTGTCACCTCGGTGCAGGCGTGTCGCGTGAAAATAAGCGATACAATCTTGAACAATTTTTTTTTCCGGACATCAAAGGAGCCGAGAGGTATGGCGCATCGTCTCCCTCTTCTTCAGATCAATTAGGCAACAGGTTAACAAAATGCTTTCTCGTGTCCAGCGTGCGACGCCACTTACTTCGGCAAGGATTGCCTGGAGCGATGCAGTGACCAGTGCTTGGACCAGCTGTGTAATAGCACCGACGGTCAGTGTCTAGAGTGTCCACCAGGCAGGACGGGTGATATGTGTCAAGACGGTATGTAACAATGCACATAATGTTATCCAAACAAGAGTTTAAATTTGGTGCCCATTGGAATGACAGTCCATTAAATGTTCATTTTATTTTTCGAAGTGGCTATTCGGACCCGGGTCCGACAAGTGAGAGGTTGGGATTAAAATTTAAAAATAAAATATTATTGTTAGGTTGTAAGACTAAATTTGGTATCCAATGAAAGATAATTGGATGAACTATATGTTTGTAAACTTACTTCTTCAGTTTAACTAAAATAAACTATATATTTTAGTAATAAAAATGAAGTGAAAGACTCGGGATTGAATTTTCCAGGCACCGGAGTACTTTCTCAGACAGACATAGTCCGACCTCCGACTCCTCAGAGCTTACATTCATTTCATATTTCAGATTGCCCGCAGGGGATGTTCGGTCAAGCTTGTAAGGAGCCGTGTAGCCGCGGCTGTGCCCGGGGGAGCTGCAATTCGTTCTCAGGAACCTGCACGTACGGGTGTTTGGATGGATATATAGGAGACACGTGCAACGATTGTAAGCTTGAACGAAATGTACTGTTATAGCCTGCGTGCTGACTTAATTTTACTGTCGACGTACAGCTGGCGCATCCACATTTTCTCTTCTCTTTTTTTGTTTTCTTCTGAAATTGACGTCACCGATGAAATGAGTAGCGCTGTACCACATCATTCCCTCCCTTAATTGAGAAAAAGGTGTTTGCGTTCTAATTTATGTTAAAGAACGCCTTCGGGTGATGCTATTTCTATAATTTATTTTCTCGAGGGTTCCAACTCCCTAACTATAAATAAGCTAGTAGCTTTCCCAGCCGGCAGAGATTTTCGTAAATTATCCTAGACTTTACGAGACCTAATATACTCATAGGAGCCTTACAAGATCGCTCTATGTGTGTGTGTGTGTGTGTGTGTGTGTGTTTAAAATATTAGCTTTCGAGTTTTATACATTTTATTTCTGCATATTTTGGATTTTGTACTTTTATATAAATTAAACAGGCAAATTAAATGGAGTAGTGTTGATTAATATCATTAGCTTTGGTATGGCTTTGGTGTTGCTTTGGTGTTGCTTTGGTATGGCTTTGGTATGGCTTTGGTATGGCTTTGGTATAGGTTTGGTATGGCTTTGGTATGGCTTTGGTATGGCTTTGGTATGGCTTTGGTATAGGTTTGGTATGGCTTTGGTATGGCTTTGGTATGGCTTTGGTATGGCTTTGGTGTTGCTTTGGTATGGCTTTGGTATGGCTTTTGTATGGCTTTTGTATGGCTTTAGTATGGCTTTGGTATGGCTTTGGTATGGCTTTGGTATGGCTTTGGTGTTGCTTTGGTATGGCTTTGGTATGGCTTTGGTATGGCTTTGGTGTTGCTTTGGTATGGCTTTGGTATGGCTTTGGTGTTGCTTTGGTATGGCTTTGGTGTTGCTTTGGTATGGCTTTGGTATTTTTGTGCACTGGTTTTCAGTCCTTTATACGCATTTTTCATCTCACAAGTGAAAACTTAAAACTGATTAGATTTGCAAAACCATATAGCGGTACGTATGTATCCACGTAAGCGATGTACTTAACACAACCGGAGCCCCCTGTCCATTAATATGGCACCTGAGTTTGATCATTTTTTGGTTACTGACTCCTTGACCAAATGACGCCATGACTCATGATACTTCTAATGTATCGACTCCTTCACTTAATGACATGACTCCATGTTAATTCTGTTTGACTCCATAACCACATGACACCAAAACTCCATGGTATCTGAACTCTGTACCTTGAGCCTGTAGCCTTCGTTAGCATCAGCTTCCGAGCCACTCTATCACGGCAAGATCTTTCCTTCAGACTGTGACAGCTCAAAGTTTGGTGCCGACTGCCAGTTCACGTGCAGCCCACATTGTCACGACAGCCTCCACAACATGTCAGAAATTGCCGTATGTCACCACAGTAATGGCGTGTGTCTCGGTGGATGTAAACCTGGATACGACGGATTACAATGTACCCACGGTAAGATCATTGTCAGAATCGTGTTTTTTGTGTGTGTCTTTGTGATGTCTTTGTGATGTCGTTGTGGTGTCTTTGTGATGTCGTTGTGATGTCTTTGTGATGTCTTTGTTAACTTGTTAAGCACATAATTAAGAAATCCTCGCTCCAAAAAATGATCATGCTTTAACGGAGGACATAGAGGTCAAAGACCTGCAAAATGACTGTGATCAACTCGGTCTTGATACCTACAAAGCATCCTACCCCAACAAGGAAACAGCCCAACATATCTAGGTCTCCATATCTAGGTCTCCATATCTAGGTCTCCATATCTAGGTCTCCATATCTAGGTCTCCATATCTAGGTCTCCATATCTAGGTCTCCATATCTAGGTCTCCAGTTGCATAGGGATCTCAATTTAAATTAAAAATCATTATTTAAAACTTGAAAGGAACATCAACAAGACGGCATAACCTTATAGCTGGTCACTACCTTATGGGGTAGTGACAAGACCACGCAGCCTGGCCAGTACCTCATGGGGCAGTGACAAGACCACATCGCCTGGACAGTACCTCATGGGGCAGTGACAAGACCACACAACCTGGCCAGTACCTCATGGGGCAGTGACAAGACCACACCGCCTGGCCAGTACCTCATGGGAGAGTGACAAGACCACACGGCCTGGCCAGTACCTCATGGGGCAGTGACAAGACCACATTGCCTGAACAGTACCTCATGGGGCAGTAACAAGACCACACCGCCTGGCCAGTACCTCATGGGGCAGTGACAAGACCACACCGCCTGGCCAGTACCTCCTACGGGCACTGTTAGCTTTAAGCACCATTTGGCGCACGATGACTGAATCAATGGCAGGGGTCAGTGGTCAGATATGACCTTGGAATAAACGTTGTATTCCCAGATCCAACCAGTGTGAATACTCCCAAAGATCACAGACGTACCCACACACCCACACCCCACACCTACCCACACATCCACACCCCACACCTACCCACACATCAACACACACAGCCTTGTTTATAATATTAATATAATTCAAAAAGTTATATTTTAAACAAAATGTGGTCAATATTTATTTGGGCCGTTAGAATATTAAACTTCTTTTCGGTGTTTATGATGAATGTATCATCCCGTATAATTTTGACAGTCTCCCTTAAAAATAACGCATAGATCTGTTTCAATGTTGCAGAGTGTGTAGCCACATATTATGGGGAGCACTGCAGGCAAAGATGCAGCAGCGATTGCTTGAATAATTTTTGTCACCATATTAATGGGAACTGTTTGGCTTGCCCGCCTGGAAAATCCGGCCATCTCTGCCAAATCGGAGGTACAGTGCTGTTGTAATATAATTATTGTTTTTTTTAAAGTATATTTCTCAAACTGCAAATTACGCCCGTGTTTGTTGGTTTATGTACCTTTTAATAACAAATTAAAATTGATCTCATTGTCAAGCTCAAGGTGCACCTTACATAATTAGTATCACAAAGCATTCCGACGACATTGTATTACTTAGTATATTCAATTCAATACCTCCAATATAACATAGTATATTATCAAATAGTTTTGATTAACTCGCGTGTAGCACTGATTAGCATCTCAATATCATTGATTACCTCCCCCCCCACCCCCCACCCCCAGCCTGTGCTGAGACCTACTACGGCGCCCACTGTCAACACAGATGCAGTCCAAATTGTTTGGATCGTATTTGTAACGGAACTGATGGCGTCTGCATCGACTGTCCAGTAGGACGAGCTGGAGAATCTTGTCTAGAAGGTAAGGCTACAACATGAGTTGCTACATCGGTCGCCGCTACGTTTGTGGCTAGAACATTCGAGGCTACAAACATTCAGGGCTACACCATTCAAGACCACACCATTCACCGTTACAAAGTTCCCGGGTACAGATTTCACGGCCACACATCCAAGGCCACACATTCAAGGCCACACATTCAAGGTCACACAGTCAATGCCACACAGTCAAGGCCACACAGTCAAGGCCACACAGTCAAGAACACACAGTCAAGGCAACAATATTTACAGCTGATTATTCACTGCCACCACATCTACGGTGCAGCATTCCAAGTTACACAATTCACAATTGTTGTTCAAGTGAGTGTAAAGGGGGATGTTCCTGGGAACGTTTCAGGTGGTGGGAGGGCTTGTTCATGGGAATTGTAGGAGGGGTTTGTTTGATCGTGGAGGGTGATTTCATGGGCGTGTTGGAGCGTTGATTTTGGGCATGTTTGGGGGGCGGAGGGCGTGCTCATCCGCAACATGTAGGGGGATGAGCATTGGGAGTTTTTTAGTGTTAAGTTTTCATTTGATTGTGGATGAAGAGTTTACGTTGGATTATTGATGATGAGTTTACATGGTATTGTGGATGAGCACTGTAAATTAAGGATCGTTAATTGGAATGATAGTTGTGTTCATGGGAATATTGAAATGTAATGAACATGAGATTTTTGGAGAGATATTTCATTGGAATGTTTGATGGGTATCCTTCACGGGCATGGGGATCGGGAGCGCTAGTTGGATTTTGAATTAAGAACCTGAACTGGATTGTGGATGTGGATTACACGTGAATGTCTCATAAGGTTGCTTTATGGAGTGAAGATTTCGATTTTTTTATTGGTTAGAACGGTGGAGTATCAATAATTAAAAACAACTTTAAACCATAAAATATTCAACTAATATACATGTATCGTGTTGTCCAGATTGTCCAGCCACCTTCTATGGACAAGGCTGTGAACGCAGGTGTATACTTGGCTGTTTAAACCAGTTGTGTAACGGCATCACCGGACACTGCCTGGACTGTCCACCCGGGAAGAACGGAAGTCACTGCGAGTTTTATTCAGCAGGTGAGAGTGACTTCCCATTTTTCTCTCCAATTACATCCCAATATATTACCTTCTTTGGTTGGATGTTACCGCCATACCTTTCCCCAACAAGGGCTGCTGTCACGTTTACATCATCCTTGCAGCAATTGCCTTCCATCCTAACGTGATCCGTCAGTCTAATGGTTCATGAACGTTGCAGGTCAAGAGACGGGTGAACATGTTGAGATCATCGTTGCCGGTGTGGTGGCCGGAGTGCTAACGGTAGTGATTGTGGTCATCGGGATGGTGTATTGGAGGTAAGACGAGATATGGTAATTGGACTCATTGGAATAGTGTGTTGTTGTTTTTTTTCGGGGGGGGGGGGAGAAAGGACCTGATGTGGTGATTGTAGTTATTCGGATAGTGTATTGAAGGTAAGATTTGAAACATTCCACAGCTCAGTGACATTCTAAAAGAAAATATTAGTGAATGTGATGACAAATGTCTAAGTAAAATTAATCAAAATATTATTGGGAAATCTTTTCATTTCGCACATACCCTCAAAGAACTGGTCACGTGACTCGTACATTCAGAATCTGTTTTCACCAAAATTCTTTACATCTTGGAAATTTTTTTTTTTCGACTGACGCAGACGCCACTCATTTTGGACATTTAAATCAGCTGTTCTGAGCTTTTCTTTCAGCCTTACTCCCCTTCTTTCAGCCTCCCCACCCTCATCAGCCTTACTCCCCATCTTTCAGCCTTACTCCCCATCTTTCAGCCTTACTCCCCTTCTTTCAGCCTTACTCCCCTTCTTTCAGCCTTACTCCCCTTCTTTCAGCCTTACTCCCCTTCTTTCAGCCTTACTCCCCTTCTTTCAGCCTTACTCCCTCCCCTTCTTTCAGCCTTACTCCCTCCCCTTCTTTCAGCCTTACTCCCCTTCTTTCAGCCTTACTCCCCTTCTTTCAGCCTTACTCCCCATCTTTCAGCCTTACTCCCCTTCTTTCAGCCTTACTCACCTTCTTTCAGCCTTACTCCCCTTCTTTCAGCCTTACTCCCCTTCTTTCACCCTTACTCCCCTTCTTTCAGCCTTACTCGCCATCTTTCACCCTTACTCCCCACCTTTTCTTTCAGCCTTACTCCCCTTCTTTCAGCCTTACTCGCCATCTTTCAGCCTTACTCCCCTTCTTTCAGCCTTACTCCCCTTCTTTCAGCCTTACTCCCCTTCTTTCAGCCTTACTCCCCTTCTTTCAGCCTTACTCCCCTTCTTTCAGCCTTACTCGCCATCTTTCAGCCTTACTCGCCATCTTTCAGCCTTACTCGCCATCTTTCAGCCTTACTCGCCATCTTTAAGCCTTACTCCCTTCTTTCAGCCTTACTCCCCTTCTTTCAGCCTTACTCGCTGCAAATACATGCTTATTGTAAAAACCCACTAAGCCATTCGAACAGCTACTAATGCAAGATTATTGTAAACTCTCACCAAGCCATTCATACAGCTTCTAATACAGGCTTATAGTAGACTCTAACTAAGCCATTCGTACAGCTACTAATACAGGCTCATACCAAACTCTCACTAAGCCATTCGTACAGCTGATAATTCAGGCTTGTAGGAAACTCCCTCTAAGCCATTCGTACAGCTACTAATACAGGCTTATTGTAAACTCTCTCTAAGCAATTCGTCCTGCTACTAATACAGGCTTATAGAAAACTCTCACTAAGCCATTCGTAAAGCTACTAGACTCTAATACAGGCTTATTGTAAAATCAGCAATACCCTTGTTTCCATTCAGAAAACGGATATCTCTACTTTTTCGACGGACGAAGGTCAGCTTCGAATACGCACGACGGTGGGAGTCACGTGACCCGAATCTAGATGATAACTCATTTCATGAAGAGGACAGAACGTAGGAGTGAGACCGATCAAAAGAGGACAGAGCATAGCAACGAGACAGATCAAAAGAGGAGAGAACTTAGCAGTGAGACGGATCAAAAGAGGAGAGAACTTAGCAGTGAGACGGATCAAAAGAGGAGAGAACTTAGCAGTGAGACGGATCAAAAGAGGAGAGAACTTAGCAGTGAGACGGATCAAAAGAGGAGAGAACTTAGCAGTGAGACGGATCAAAAGAGGAGAGAACTAAGCAGTGAGACGGATCAAAAGAGGAGAGAACTTAGCAGTGAGACGGATCAAAAGAGGAAAGAACATAGCAATGAGACGGATCAAAAGAGGAGAGAACTTAGCAGTGAGACAGACCACAAGAGGAAAGGGCGTGGCAGAAAGGCAGATCAAAAGAGGAAAGAACATAGCAGTGAGACGGATCAAAAGAACTCATTTCATAATTTGACTTGTTTCAGTGCATATACACATATATATCCTTACAGTATTGTCGAGTATATTTTTGGACAAATGTCGAGTGGAACAATTTTTCTTATAGGAAATGAGTAAAACAGAGTATGTGAAAACCTCAAAAAAGGAACGCCACAAAAACAACGAACGTGTCGGCAGGAAGCCGTCAGTGAACAAACAACAAAAAAAAAAAACCAACAGAATTAAATAAAAATAATAGCGCTTAGCTGAAAAGTAGTCTCCAGGAGGCCCGCAAAAGAATTGTGTGGAATTTTTCCTACAGCGTTTTTAATTCTAGAAATGTAATTGTATTGATTTTTTTTTTTTCGTCCAAAGAGTTTTTTTAAAAAAAAAATTATTTTTTTTCGTCCCAAGTAAAGGAACTAAAACTCCGTATCTTAAAACCGTCTGCTAGGGTTCAACTAACAAACAAAAAAAAAAAAAAACCAAAAGAATTAAATAAAAATAATAGCGCTTAGCTGAAAAGTAGTCTCCAGGAGGCCCGAAAAAGAATTGTGTGGAATTTTTCCTACAGCGTTTTTAATTCTAGAAATGTAATTGTATTGATTTTTTTTTTTTCGTCCAAAGAGTTATTTTAAAAAAAAAATTATTTTGATGCGTCACAAGTAACGGAACTGAAACTCCGTATCTTAAACACGTCTGCTAGGGTTCAACGGTCCAACGGTCCATCCTCCTCGTGTTCTTAATGTTGAAAAACGAAGATATGTTGATCAGTTGTAGTTGGAAAATGGGTTTCGCGACCGTGAAATAAGTTATTCATTACTTTAGATCGCACTTATATGATCACGAAGAGGGAGAGGAGTTGGGGGAAAAAAAGGGTAAGAGAACAAACGCGTGTGAGGGTGACAAAGCCGGGCAACTAGGTGACATGATTATGCTGTCCATGGTTATGAAATTTCACCTTACAGGAAGTCTACTGTGTCGAACGGAAAGGGGGAAATCTTGTCGATTGGTTACTGTTTCGAAAGAGATTCACACACGTGTCCTCAAGTAGGGCCGCATATGCTACCCCCCCCCCCATTAAGTTTTAGACCTAGATCCCTGAAATTGATCGTCAGTGAATTCATTGGTTGACGGAGACATACATGCGAAACAAGATGATGAAATCGTGAAATATTTTTGTCTGTGGAGTAAGAGGGTTAATATTTTATAGGAATGCGTCTCTGGCGAAATTCACATTCACTTAATGCGAAGCTATTTTTGGAAATGGGTCTCTCCGAGGAGGAAAAAATTTTGGCAGAAACTTCACTCATACGTTTAAAAGCACCAAGGATGACCGTGGTTTGAAAATGGTTTGAAGAACTTTCACGAGAGAAATATATTTTAAAGAGGCGGCACCCACTAACATGTTTCTGAAAAGGTTCTCTGTCAAAAGAATTAGAAAGTAGGATCAAACTGTACGTGAATGTGACTTCCGTCGGAGAACCACCCCAAATATAAAACACTTTCATTAAACACTTTCATTATACACTTTCATTAAACACTTTCATTATACACTTTCATTCTACACTTTCATTATACACTTTCATTATACACTTTCATTATACACTTTGTTAAGAAACAACACACCATTTAATTCATTTAATTAGGACGATTTGTTGATATCAATACGAGTATTTGTTAAAAGTGTTTTAAAGACTCATTTTTAGAATATCGTGTTAAGACTTAATGAATGCATATTCAAATTGATAATGGTAAAATCTCGTGTAATCTAATTGCTTTTCGTTTAATCTAAAAAAAAAAAATGTGTTTAAATAAATTTTTTGTTGTTTTAATGTTTGACCCTCTATGTAACACACGATGAAAATAATTCTTTGTGTAACTCAAGGTTCTTCAAAGTATTATTTTGTATAACTCTAATTTCTAAATATATAAAGTGTTGTACAAAGGTCGCCTAGCCAATCTTTACTTTCCTATCATTGGGGTGGCTGGAGGTTTTGGTGCATGGGGCGGTCACTGACATCACCGCCCCTCTTTCAAGAGAAACACAATGCGCGTACAGAATAAACATTGACATTTTAAACTATGTCAAATGACACCCCAACCCCCCCCCCCAATCCCTTACTCCTCTCCACCACCCCAACTCCCACCTCATCTCCACTTGTCAGTGATTCCTACACTCAAAATCTGCTTAGATTCTCAACTTTCTTTTGACCCTAATGCGCGTACAGAATAAACATTGACATTTTAAACTATGTCAAATGACACCCCACCCCCCCCCCCCAATCCCTTACTCCTCTCCACCACCCCAACTCCCACCTCATCTCCACTTGTCAGTGATTCCTACACTCAAAATCTGCTTAGATTCTCAACTTTCTTTTGACCCAAAAGTTTCATTTGAATGGGTTGCTGAATGTTGCTGGCAATGTACACAAACAAGCCCCGTGAATTTCATCTCCTCTGACTTCTTGACTACATTTCATTATTGCCTTTACATGCGTTGGCAATACATTCCAGTTGGTAATGTGAATGAATGCATTACCAACCTCATAGAATGGCGCATTTTTTTTCTTTTCCACGCCGAGAGATGTGTATCCCATTATCAATAATGAGCCCATCGCGAGGTCGTCTCATTCACAGTAGTTCTCAAACACGTTCACATAATCGTTCTCAAACAAGTTTTACAAAGTAATTTGTTTCCTTACCATCAACTAATTGGGTTTAATTTCTGTACACGCTCGTTCAAACAATAAACTGAAATTCTGAACTCTTCATAACAGTTCATGTCTAGAAATCGGAGTGAATTGAATGTATGTGTTAGACTTAATTAGTTCATAAAATTTATTCTGATCCGTTCATGTTGGTGTATGATCAAACAAAACGACACGAGGTGGTTCACGAGGTGGTTCACGAGGTGTTCACGAGGCGTTCACGAGGCGTTCACGAGGTGTTCCCGAGGAGTCTCAATATCTTTTTATATAACATCATAACATCATAAGACTTTGAAAGGAAACAAGAAAATGGCATGTGCCCGTCCATTCAAGTGACGGCCAAGATATGAAGTGTTTGAGAGAAAATATGTACTCTCCCTATTCTACCCGTAACAGTTAGTTACAGTCTGGTTGTTTTGGCTGATCTTATGTCATGATGACCTGATGCCCAGATAAGTGATGCCCTGATGCCAAGCTAACCTGATGCTTAAGATATCCTGATGCCCAGAAAAATTAATGCCCCGATACTCTGAGGTACAGATAACCTGATGCCCTGATGCACAGATAAATAAATTTCCAGATTATTTGATACCCTTTTGACCAGATAAACTAATGCCCAGATACCCCGATGAACAGATAACCTGATACCCGGATGTCTAGATCCCCGGATGTCTAGATCCCCGGATGTCTAGATCCCCGGATGTCCAGATAAACTGATGACAGATAACCATAGACACTGACGTCCAGATAACCTGATAACCAGATACCCTGATGTCCAGATAGCCTGATGACCAGATACCTAGATGACCTAAATTGAACTCATCCCTTGAATGAAACTAAACCAGCCATCAGCATCACTAAACACTTAGATACACTTTTATAAAGACGAGGCTTCGTTTCGGCATCCTAATTAGCCTGTTACATTGACCAAAGCATTGAAGAATGGGATCATTTTTCACATCAAAATGATTGATTTTTTTTTTTACTTAGCATTAATTTGCATACTTGATACTTTGATATAAGATATTCTCACCAACTGGTGATTGAGGGAACGTCAAACAAACTCTTCTTTTGCCTGTAAGATAATTTTGTGCGAGTAGTACGTAGCGAGGAGGAAATAGACTCTACTTTGACTATAAGTGGCTTTGTGTGAGTCGTACGTAGAGAGGGTAAAATAGACTCTAGATTAGTCTGTAAGTGGCTTTTGTGTGAGTCATACTTAGAGAGGGTAAAATAGACTCTAGAATAGTCTGTAAGTGGCTTTTGTGTGAGTCGTACGTAGAGAGGGTAAAATAGACTCTAGAATAGTCTGTAAGTCGCTTTTGTGTGAGTCGTACGTAGAGAGGATAAAATAGACTCTAGAATAGTCTGTAAGTGGCTTTTGTGTGAGTAGTACGTAGAGAGGGTAAAATAGACTCTAGAATAGTCTGTAAGTGGCTTTTGTAGGAGTAGTATATAAAGTCTTATATAAAATCCATGAGTTTTTCTCTAGAAAGCTTGACTTGGTGATCTTCTCGTTTGGCGTAACTCCACGATGTCTGCTATGGACATCAGTCCTGATTGGCGTACCTCCACGATGTCTGCTATGGATATTAGTCCTTATTGGCGTAGGAGTTCTTCATTTATGACTGTCGAAGTCAAGAAGAGAACCTGTATCCTTATCAAGTTTTAACATGGGACCCTTTTCGAAAGATAGAAACTCCCTTCACAATTCTACTTGATGTTGTGTTCAAATAGGGAAATATGAAAAAACATATTTATAAATTCCAAACTATCGATTTCTTAACTCAACACTGTCCCCCTATTTATTAATTTGAGAACCACTGATTTGTCCTGAAACAAAGAGGATCCAATCTAGCCGCAACTTTCATTAAGTCTCTAGATTCGCGTCCATTAATGGATGAAACTCGTGGTGGCTTAATGGTCAACAAATGGCCATTTACCCAAGCAACACAACACAACGACGTGATCGCGAGGCCCATGTGTTACCAGTGTTGAAGTTGTCGTGCATATAAATAGGTCTGGATTCCCAGTCTTCAGTATCGTATTCACTTCCCCACGACTTTACAACAGCAAGATTTTAGTTCTGTAAGTCTATTCAGTTTCATTTGTCTATAGCTCTAGATAAGACCCTAAGATGAAACTCGCATATCATGTTTAACTTTAGTTGTAAGGATGATTCATGAAATGTAGTTTGAACCAGATAGGATGGGACGAGGATATTCTAATGAGGTTCGCTAGAAACTAAACCTATAGGATACAGACAGACTAAAGACAGTCGCTAGAAACTAAACCTATAGGATACAGACAGACTAAAGACGTTCGCTAGAAACTAAACCTATAGGATACAGACAGACTAAAGACGGTCACTAGAAACTAAACCTATAGGATTCAGACAGACTAAAGAGGTTCACTAGAAACCAAACCTATGAGACACAGACAGACTGAAGAGATTCACTTGAAACTAAACCAAATTAATGAGACTTAATTTATTTTTTTTTAAAAATTTCATTTGAACACTTTGGCAGCCAGCAATGTTGGTCAAAATGTTGGTCCTCCTCGTGGTCGGTCTGACCAGTTACGCTCTGGGCGAGAAATTGAAAAGCCTGGACGAAGCGATCGGGATTTTGGGAGAACTTGCCGGAGAAAGTAAGTACATAGAACCTTGCTTTGAAATCTGTGCACCGACTTTCGTAAGCCGATAGTTGTAATGAAACGATTGTATCCAGATATTTGTGCAGCAGCCCTTGTGTACCGAGATCTGTATGACAAGCTACGAAACTTTGAAATACCGAGATCAAGATAATAAAAGGGTGCAAACATGCAGGAAGTGTAGCTGATGCTAGCAGTACTTGCAAAAAATCCGATGATTAAACTGGTCACGGTCGATTTCCGACTGATGAACAACACCACCATAGCTGAAGCTGTCTAGTCTCGGGATGATTCTCTCAAAGTTACAACGACTGTATTTCTGACATAGATATGGGGGGGGGGAGTGGGGCACTTCTTAACTTCTTAAGTGTCATGTGTACACCAATTGGAACACATTCGTTTTCTGAAATTTACACTGCAAATGAATGTCCTGTGAACTCAACCTTCAAACCAATAGCCAGAACGGGGCTGGAGTCGACCTCCCTATTTATTTTAAAGCGTTAACGTCTTTTGCTAGACAAATTTCGCTATCATGGAAAAACATCTATGGAAGTTAAATTACATTAAAAAAAAAAAAAAAAAAAAAAAAAAAAAAAAAAAAAAAAAAAAAAAAAAAAAGAGAAGAAAAAAAAACAAAGAAAATATGCAACGGTCTTTTTCTGCGCCATTTTAATTCGATAGAGAGATCTGTAAGCTTGAAATCATGCACCGCCAGAAAATTCAGATGCGTTTTAAATGCAAACTATGTCATTTACCAAATTTTAGCTCTTTAAAATCGCGCAATTTGATTTCCAACAATAATGAATATAAATATCGATTTCATTGAGTTTAGAACAATAGTAATAGCTAAATTGTGGCACTCTTTGGTTAAAAACAAATAATTAGCCATTCACCCATAAGATTTGGGTTACATTGGACACAAGGTGTCCATTGAAAAGTTTGGTTTATTAAAACAACAACAAAAACAACGAACACATTTGAACTCTGAAAATATGTTTGAAAATTGTGTTCTTTCTTTCAGATCTTCTGATTGACCCGAGAGACCAAGAGAACGATGTCACCGGAGAAGCCGAAGAAACAGACGACACACTGGAGAAAAGAGAACACGAAGGGGCTAATACACTCGCACCGAATAGGGCGCATCCCGCTGTTGGACGAGACACGGCGAGCTTGGACCATAAACTCTCTGCGTACAATGCATTCGCTCGCAAGGTGCACCAAGCCAGTTCGGACAACAAACTCTCGACTCACCAAGCAAGTTTAGACAACAAACTCTCGGCTTACAATGCCTTCGCTCGCAAGGCTCACCAGGGGGTCGCAGGGGGTAAAGTAAGACCCGACTCTGATAACTGGGTGTTTGTTGAAGTGCCTGTAGGAGAAGATGGGGATGTGATAGACGACGACACTCAGAGCAATAGACTGGCAGCGTACAATGCCCTGAGAAGAGGCGACAACAGACTGGCAGCCTACGATGGTCTGAGAAGAGGCGACAACAAACTGGCAGCCTACGATGGCTTGAGAAGAGGTGACAACAGACTGGCAGCCTACGATGGTTTGAGAAGAGGTGACAACAGACTGGCAGCCTATGATGCCCTGAGAAGAGGCGACAACAGGCTGGCAGCCTACGATGCCCTGAGACAAGGTGTAGGAAAAGCAGCTGCTCAAGTTGTCCCGATTAAAGGTGATAATAAAGTAGCACCTGACGATGCCCTGAACAAAGTAGCACCCCACGATGCTCAGAAAAGAGAAACTGAAGAAGGAAATGACGTCATCAAAACGAAAATTGTTGCATTCAAAGTCTAATATTTCAGTAAGGGGGGCAACTAATGCTAGGAACATGCTGGCAGTTCAAATAATAACACTATAGCTATACTTGGAGAGTAATTTTTCATATGAGATGTTTCGGGAGATTAAAATATAGAAAATACATTTAATTATATATATATATATATATATATATATATATATATATATATATATATATATATATATACAAATATATATATATATATATATATATATATATATATATATATATATATATATATATATATATATAACTATACCAATATTAAATGTTTCATTAGTATGTAACATACCACTTGAGATGAGTAGGAAATCTTCAATTTATTTTTATGATTCTTAACGTTTAAAAAAACAAAATCGTTTAAGAAGGTGAAAGCAACATCAGACTTGAAACAGACTTGTTACATAAATGAAAGCAACATCAGACTTGAAACAGACTTGTTACATATATGAAAGCAACATCAGACTTGAAACAGACTTGTTACATACATGAAAGCTATGCGTATCGATGACAATATTTGGCGTTCGTCCCCCTGTCAAGTAGCTTGAGTTACAGAAATAAAACATTCCTACAGTTTCTCCAGCCATCTCGTGTCCTTTGTTGTTTTCGTTTCATGAGACTGGTTTGGTTTTTATACGGTTGAGAATAGTGGTCACCGATTTTCGTGAACGGCTCTCTATTTATTATCTCTGATGGCCTTAACATTTTAGCAAACGTTGCCAAATACACACACACACACAGTAACAAATCACTTCATCGAAGTGTGGCGATGTTAACAGCCATTGATAAATCATTTCAAATAGAGATTATTACGCACACGTTAATAGACAGTTAACCTGTTTCTGGCGATAACACCCATTAATAAATCACTTCCCTTGTGTTCCTCCGTATAGAATACAAAAAATTTATTTGTCCCTGGCGGCAGCAGATCCATTTATAATAATGGCAACCTGATATCAACCGTCACCTTTGCGAGCATGGAGCAAAAGAGCTGCGGTATAAAACATATTAATTGAAATTAACATGTTCCTTTAAATACGGGCGTTTGCTACATGGCTTTTAAGCACTGAAAGGGAGATGACTGTGTCGAATTAACATTGTGAAACGAAAAATGTGTTATGTCGCTTGACAAACGCCAAGGCTTGAAAACAAAATTAACACGTGAAAAAAAAATTGATCTTTCTGGGGAAATCCCAACTTAAATTACCGAAATGAAATACTTGGCTAACAACGACTGACATCTACCTAGCTGTCGTGTTTCCCAGAGAAGAAGACCTGTCCGTTGTTTCCAGATGCTCGTGCCATGAGGCCTGCTCACAAAGTAACCCCCAGAGACACAAGCCTACCGGTAGGTAGACAGAACCCAAGACATAGAATGACATCATCGTGACATGTGTGAGCTGCCAATGCATGACCAGCAAGTTACTTTGATGGGAAGTGATTTGATTGTGCCAATGAAATAAGAGCAGGTTACTTTGATGGGAAGTGATTTGATTGTGCCAATGAAATGAGAGCAGGTTACTTTGATGGGAAGTGATTTGATTGTGCCAATGAAATAAGAGCAGGTTACTTTGAAAGGAAGTGATTTGATTGTGCCAATGAAATAAGAGCAGGTTACTTTGAAAGGAAGTGATTTGATTGTGCCAATGAAATGAGAGCAGGTTACTTTGATGGGAAGTGATTTGATTGTGCCAATGAAATAAGAGCAGGTTACTTTGACAAGAAGTAGATTGATCTTTTAGTACATACATAAATGGAGAGATTTTAACGCAAACAAATGTAGACAGACGTTAAAAAATATATATAAAAAATATAAATACACATTGAGAAGAGGAATCCATTATTAGAAAAAGCCCGTAAGGAGTGTGTGTGTGTGTGTGTGTGTGTGTGTGTGCGTACAAATAAATACATAAATATGTCAATAGCGAATACAAGACTATTACAACTCAGAATTTTATTTTCTGTGCCTCACCAATGTCTACCTACCTCACAAGTGTTCTGATGCCTTCATTGCTTTCTCTTTCTGTTTGACAATGCTGGCTTTGGGAGTTAGTGGATGGTGTCATGTCAAGTGTTTGGTAATTCTGGCTTTGGGAGTTAGTGGATGGTGTCATGTCAAGTGTTTGGTAATTCTGGCTTTGGGAGGTGGTGGATGGTGTCATGTCAGGTGTTTGGCAATTCTGGCTTTGGGAGGTGGTGTATGGTGTCATGTCAAGTGTTTGACAATGCTGGCTTTGGGAGGTGGTGGATGGTGTCATGTAAAGTGTTTGACAATTCTAGCTGTAGGCGGTGGCGTGAGTTCAAAGATTTGCCAGGAGATGCGCATTATGGGAACATCAACTTTTTTTTCCCATTTTTATTTTGCACTCCTAATTTCTTTATACATATTCTTAGGTTGATTTAATTAACTTTCTAGTTAACTTTCGAACCCTTGGCCAACTTCTGTAAGCTTTATTTTATGATCTCTATTATTATCTTTTATGTGTCTAAAGAAGGCTTTCAGCCGATACGTCTTTTGTGCGCTTTTGTTCAATGTTTCAAGCCTCCCCCACCCCCCTCCTGTCTCGTTCCTGAATACTTCCTTTCTAGAACGTGCCATTCTTTAACATGACGCCTTCTTTTCTTCTCTCGATTCCCATGAACTTTTTTTTTGAAATGGTTAAGTAAATAGATTGATTGCCCAGACAATCTTGTTCAACTCTCAAGTTTCCCCTGGCGTAAATGGCACGTTAGGTTTTAGTTACTGGTGTAAGGGCGGATCTCTAACTTTGAAATGTATTACTTTCTTTCACTCTTTGCGCTGAAAAAAAAATGAATCGAGAACGTTGAGCTACATTCAAGACCGTGCTGACCGTGGGGGGGGGGGGGGGGAGCTGGGGTTTTCCCCCCCCGGGACAGGTCGTGAATTGCATCACCCCGTTACATTCAAAAACTCCGCAGCTGGCCAACAAAACTCCGCCTCGATCTAAAAAGCCCCCCCCCAAAAAAAAAAAGTGTCCCTCGGGGCGCACCGCCACCTCCGTGCCCCCTTTCCTACGCCCCTGATGCCGATGCACATCCATTTAAATGCCCCCGTCACAGTAGATTTCAGGGGCTGTCAAGCGAAGTGCGGATGTCAGCTGAGCAAAATTTACCGCTGGATTCATATTTCCTGAGCCCCAAATTTTACACAAGTGGTAGGTTCAAATTCTGACTTGGCGTGGTCGATCGATTACCAATGTCTAAAGGCCACGGACGATTTTCAATTATTTTTTTGGTTTTTTTGTTACTTTGAAATGCGTCCTTTCAACTTTCACAACATTATTTTTTTGTTTTCGTTGTGTTTGAATTCATTCTTCACAAATGTATTCTTTGTTCTTCGCAGCTCTCGGGCCAAGGACGCGGACAAAATCTCGCTAATGAAGTCTCGTGAATAACATATCCCGAGAAAAAAACGTTTAAAACGAATTTAAAATTTTTAAAAAATTATTTGTTTTAACGAGGTGCAACTAAGGATGAGCAGAGGGGGGAAGATATCACCCCGGGGGGGGGGGAACTAGTGAGGCGCGAAACTGAGTTAGAATTGAAAATGAACTTTTTCCCCGGGCGACAAACACTTCGCCACTGGCCACATTCGTCAAACATCTTGTTTGCCCGGTTGCACACATTGTTGATGGGCCAACAGCGGATGGGTTGCACAGGGCCAACAGCAGATGGGTTGCACAGGGCCAACAGCAGATGGGTTGCACAGGGCCAACAGCAGATGGGTTGCACAGGGCCAACAGCAGATGGGTTGCACAGGGCCAACAGCAGATGGGTTGCACAGGGCCAACAGCAGATGGGTTGCACAGGGCCAACAGCGGATGGGTTGCACAGGGCCAACAGCAGATGGGTTGCACAGGGCCAACAGCAGATGGGTTGCACAGGGCCAACAGCGGATGGGTTGCACAGGGCCAACAGCAGATGGGTTGCACAGGGCCAACAGCAGATGGGTTGCACAGGGCCAACAGCAGATGGGTTGCACAGGGCCAACAGCAGATGGGTTGCACAGGGCCAACAGCAGATGGGTTGCACAGGGCCAACAGCGGATGGGTTGCACAGGGCCAACAGCGGATGGGTTGCACAGGGCCAACAGCAGATGGGTTGCACAGGGCCAACAGCAGATGGGTTGCACAGGGCCAACAGCGGATGGGTTGCACAGGGCCAACAGCGGATGGGTTGCACAGGGCCAACAGCAGATGGGTTGCACAGGGCCAACAGCAGATGGGTTGCACAGGGCCAACAGCGGATGGGTTGCACAGGGCCAACAGCGGATGGGTTGCACAGGGCCAACAGCAGATGGGTTGCACAGGGCCAACAGCAGATGGGTTGCACAGGGCCAACAGCGGATGGGTTGCACAGGGCCAACAGCGGATGGGTTGCACAGGGCCAACAGCGGATGGGTTGCACAGGGCCAACAGCGGATGGGTTGCACAGGGCCAACAGCGGATGGGTTGCACAGGGCCAACAGCGGATGGGTTGCACAGGGCCAACAGCCAATAGCGGATGGGTTGAGAACCTGGTATCTAGATTCTAGTACCAATAAACGCCAGGTGTAAAGGCGGCTTCATTGAAACACACAACATTGAAACGAAAAGATTTTAAATTTGAAGTGGCCTGCATTGGATTGGCACACGTGGTCATCACTGTACACTTACCCGATTGTTTTGACAACTAGGAATGATAATTGTGAAACGTGAATATCGACCGTAATAATGGTCCTTCAATACCACACACTGGACCATTTGTTCGTGTTTGAAAAATACTTACCGTATTTTCGCACCCATATACAGGACGCACCCATATTTAAGACGCACTCATATTTAAGACGCACTCATATTTAAGACGCACTCATATTTAAGACGCACTCATATTTAAGACGCACTCATATTTAAGACGCACTCCTATTTAAGACGCACTCCTATTTAAGACGCACTCCTATTTAAGACGCACTCCTATTTAAGACGCACTCCTATTTAAGACGCACTCCTATTTAAGACGCACTCCTATTTAAGACGCACTCATATTTAAGACGCACTCATATTTAAGACGCACTCATATTTAAGACGCACTCCTATTTAAGACGCACTCATATTTAAGACGCACTCATATTTAAGACGCACTCATATCTAAGACGCCCTCTGGAATCGGGTTATGT